GCAATTTTATTACTTGTTATAATTATATAATATAAATATATGTTATAATTAATAATAATAATTAATAAACCTACCTTTTCTCTCTCCTGCTTCCCTCCTAATTGAAAAAGAAAGAAAAAATTACTGTTACAAACATGTAGAGTAAAGCAAAACAAATTTCCACATTGGCTATGTTAATACACACACACACACACACACACACACACACACACACACACACGACTCATTTTGCACTCTGAATGTTTCACCTCTCCATAGTGTGGGGTAGCATGGTCCTCTGGAACTGGGGTTGGTCACTATTCTGATCAGAGTTCCTAAGGTTTTTCAAAATTGTTTGTATTTACAGTATTGTTGAAATTGTATAAATAATCTTGGTTCTGCTCATTTTACTCTACATCAGCTCACAGAAGCTTCTCAATTTTCTGATAGCATTCTCTTTTTTATTTAGTTTTTATTTGTATGTTTTATTTTTTATATCCTCATAGTTTCCCCCAGTTTTCCTCTGCTCCCCTCCCCTCCCCTCATGGGAAGCCATTCCATATAACAAATGGCATTTTTTAAAGACAAAAAAAGGAAAAAATGCGTGCAACAGATTACATTGAAAAGTACAATAGCATTCTATCACATTCAAATGTATATGCACAATAGTGCTTCCCTTTATAACACTTTGCAGATATTGTGGTGGGGTTTTTTGTTCCTTTGTTTGTTTTTGGCTTTGCTTTGTATTTCCCAAACAGTATTCATCGTGGTACCTTTTCTAGATGCGTTTGGAAGAGTGTTTCTTTGCAGGGGAGAAAAAGAGCTTGTGGTACTTCTCACTGCTATATCACCATCTTGGCTATGCCTCATAGTAGGTCTCTAACAAATACTTGTTGCACTGAATTAAAGAAGGAAAGAAAATAGAAAATGTGTTTGTGTTTGCAAATTTAGAGAAGGATGAAGAAGAAAAAAAAGAGAAAAAGAGGAAACAGAGATTTATTTTTCTATTTTTTCTCTCTTTCCATCTCCTTTCCCCCCCTCCCTTTCCCCTCTCTCTCATCTTTACTCTTCATTTTTTGTGTCACCTTTGGCAAGTTATTTAACCCAACTAGACTTTAGTTTCCTCATCCATAAAGTGAGATTAATTCTTGCTTTATCTACTACAGAAATGGTATGAGGATCAAATTCAATAACTGCTGTAGAAAGCCATTAGAAAAACATAAGAATCCTATGTATATAAGAATTTTTGTGTTTATGAGAAGAGCTAGTAAGTCTATAGGGAAAGAATTTTGAAATATCAGGTGTTACTCTTATCGGTTGTTTTTGCTTATCTATTTCTTCGTTACAAATGAAGGTGCAATTCTGGGAGGAGGGAAAGATATCCAGAAATGGCTGATATAAAAAGTAAAAGATATCAATAAAACTTACTTTTAAAATAAGAATTAAAGAAATCCCAGAAATTGTGAAATAATTTCTTTTCTTTCTTTTTACCCTTAATTTCTGGAGGAAAAAGAGGACACAGTTAGACTATAAATCTCACCCTTTCTTAGCCTGCAGACTATTTCCTTGCCCAAAGAAGACACCAGCAGTACATCAATAGGAATGTAAGCCAAAGATTTCTCTAGCTTCTAAAAAAAAAACTGAAAGCCCCAAGTAGTTTCACACAATTAGGGTAAAAACAAACCAAAAAAAACATTCAAAACGATAAAACCCACAACCAACCAAACTTTAAAGTCTGGGAAGGGGGATAATCTTTCATTTAAAAATAAAATTAGAATGTGTTCAAATATCTAAGAATAGCATGAAAACCAATACCCAAACCAGTAAAGATCTAGAGGCATTTTGGAGAAAAAAAAATTCTGGGAGGTGCCTGGGACTTTGAAAGGGCTGTGTTAACAACATGTCACAGAAATTTGTATCAGAGCAGAGTGAAGTAGAACCAGAAAAACAATATAAACAATGACTGCAACAATGTAAATGGAAAGAATGACAGTAACAACAAAGAAACAAAAACAAACCACAAAGGTGAATGGTGTCTAATTATAAAGATATTGTAATAAATAGTAATAACTCAGTCTGGGTCCTAGAGAAGAGTTGAAAAAAAATATACTACACACTTCCTTATCCTCTTTTGCAGAGGTGGAGGATTATGAGTATGGAGTATTGCATATACACTGGCAGACATGGTTGATGTGGTTGGTGTTCCTGAATTTAAAAAAAAAATTTTTTTAAGGCAATTGGGGTTAAGTGACTTGCCCAGGGTCACACAACTAGTATCAAGTGTTTGGTCTGAGGGCACATTTGAACTCAGGTCCTCCTGACTTCAGGGCCAGTGCTCTATCCACTGTACCACCTAGCTGCCCCTTAATTTTTATTTTTTAATCCCTGTTACAAGGGATGACATCCTGGGTGGTGGGGAAAGGTTATGAAGTGAGAAAAGATGGTGAAGTTAAAAAACAACAAGATATTGATTTAAAATAAAGGGTTTTTTTTAAGTATCAGGATTTGAAACAGCTTAGCTGAGACTGATACCCATAAATTAGAGGATGCTTTTGAAAAATCTTTATTTCTGTTTCAATTCTTAAAGTTGCTTTTTTGTTTCAATATCTTAACAAGTAAGGTCTTTAGTTTATACCTATATCAGAGACTGAACAGGAATAGGAAAGAACCATGTAGAGTTAGTTCAAAATGAACCAGATGTTTCCTGAAATCATACCTCCTCTGGCCATAGTCTAGTCCCATTGTACTCCATAACTTAACTATTTTTCCACCTATAAGCAAGAGGATGCTCTTTGCTGTTCTTCTCTGGATATTTGTGTATATTACATATTTTATGTATCTCTACACCTATATTCCCTACCACTCTGCTTAGCCTGCTGGAAAAGTTATCAATATGTGGTTCTTTTTTCCCTTTTCCCCTTGTGTACTCCATAAAAATTGCATGCACCCATCTTTTAGGTGGTTTTAAATTATTTTAAACAATGTAAGGAAACATAGGTCTCAGTGGTGGTGAAATAGTTTGGTTTTTCAGTAGCAAATACTGGGGGAAATGACCAAGTTGCAGAAGTTTTATTAGTTAATAAAGTATTTCCCCTCTCCTTGTCATGGTGCCTCTACATCCCTACATCCTGCTTCAGCTCAATTCTGTTAACAGATGTCACAAGATAAGAGTAAGGGTACCTGCACCCTTCATAGAAATGTGATGCAAAAGAACTCTAGGAACCTTGCAGGCCTCACTTTTAGAAATTCTTGAATTTGGGGTTAACCACAGCTTCTGCTGTGTACTTTTGGTAGCACTCTCTCAGAGGTGCCTCAGGTGCTGCCATCTCTTGGGCTGGCAAAGTCCACTCTCAGCATCTTTGTTCTCAAGCCACCCTGTGCAGCATAAGACCCTCTGCTATGTGCTTCTTCCGGAGTATGTCAGGGTGTTCATACTTCCGTTCCCCCTTTCCCTCCTCCTCTACCCCCTACCTCTGTCTTGCCTTTCTTCCTCCTTGCCATAGAAGTGGTTTGTTGAATTTGCCTCAGATTTAAAAATTCACAATTATTATTCTCAGAATAACTGTAGAACCTACCTTATAGGATTGTTGAGAGGGTCAAAAGAGATAACCTATGTAAAGTGCTTCACAAACTCTAAATCACCACATAGATGTCAGGCATAAGGATGAAGGAAGTAGCATTTGAGTTGGGTCTTAAGAGGATGGATAGGATTTTAAATTGCAAGTAGTTATAGCTGCCTTTAGCAGATCAGGCTGGAAGAGGCAGAGTAGTGACTCATTGTTGCCAAATAATAATGTGGCTGCAACTAAATTCTCTACATGAAACAAACTGTCACAATTTAAAACATGTTTTCCCCCCACCCCACCCTTACTTGCGCTTCTCTTTCTCTCTTTCCTCTCCACCCCCCCCCATGGGCTTTAGGCCCACTGCTCCTAAATTATGATTATTTTCTTGCTTGTATTTATTTGTGAATTTCTACCTTCGAATTAGTTACCAGTTGCTTTCATTCCTTGGCTGAGAGCAGACTGACCAAAGCCCTTCTCTCACCATACCACTCTTTTCTCCTTGGTGTAATTGACTCTCTACCTGTTAATTGCTCACTCTCTTATGGGCAGAATAAAGGTTTGCTGGTCAATTGAAAAGTTAGAGAACAGATTGAGGAGGACTGTGAGAACCTGACCAAATCTGAAATGCACTAGGTTGCAACAGGAAACCATGGAAGAGTTCCAAGCAGAGGTGTAACATGATTAGAAAGTGTCTGAGGACAGTTTGGAGGGAGGGAATAGAATAGTGTTAAAAAAAAAAAACCCAAAACCAAATTTCTCAGAGCTGTCTCCACTGACTTACTGGGCAGGTTGTTCCAATTAAGGTTGGTGGGATAGGGCGAAGGGTAAGAGAAAGAAATTCCCTCTCCCTTACCTTCTGGCAGAGGTGCAAGTTGAAAGGCAAAGCTCATTCCCCTCCTTAGAGCTGGGTTCTCCTGTAGATTTCCAGGGGCCACACTTCTTGGAACTCTCCTGTATTCAAAACTGGCAAACAATGGTAAGATAGTCTTCTAAATCCTTGGAGCTTGATTCAAGGCTTCTTTATACTTTAAAAAAGGGCATAGTAACAAGTGTAAATCTTTAAAAAAAAAGTCTAAAACCCTAACACCTTAAAGCTTTGGTATAAATGTTAATTATTACCATTGTCTCTGTTATTTGTCCTTACTTTATGTGATTATATTAACTGTTAGTAAGCAATTGCTTTCCTGAGCAATCCCCTTCCACCATATATATTACGGGCATCTGAACTCCAGGAGATCAGTTATTATTCCCATTTTCAGATGAAGGTAGTGAATCTCAAAGAAGTTCACACTTCTTTATTTAAACATGGGGTTTCCTGATGGCAAGTCCAGCAATATCTCCACAATTCCATCCGAGATGGAAACTTAAAAGGTGCTCACAATACTCCAAGCCATTTTTAAAAATAAATTTTTATTGATATCATTTTTTACATCACCAAAAATTTCCCCTCCTTTTCCCACAAAGCCTTCCCATATATCAAACATTTATTTGAAGGGGGGGAAATCAACAGGAAAAAAATCAGCAAAACTGATGAATACATGGAAAAAGTCTTAAACTATGCGAAATGTACAACGACCCACAGAGGACTTCCCACCTCCACAAAGGTGTGGGGTGGGGGTGTCTTCTGATATTCTTGCTTTGTTTTGTTTTATAGTTTTGCAACATTCACTTCTGATTGTTTTTCAGACAGTCTTTCCGTTTACATTGTTTTAAGTCATTGTGTAGACAGTGAGGTCCCAATTTGTGCTAATAGGAAATTCCCTTTAAGTGGTCTCATTATTCGAACTGGCACAGCATAATTCCATTGGGCTGGAACCAGGTACCATATTTTACATAATTATAACTTCAAATAGTGTTAATTCGAATACCTGAACTGTTTTTCTAGGCTCAAAAGTAGGTGATAATTGAAGATAACAGCAGAAAAAAGGAGGGTGGGGCAGGTACTAACCTAGTCTTAAGTGAGAAGCCAGTTTCACTTGCCACCCTCAAATCCCTCCCTGCCCGCCCCACCAAGACCTGTGGGAAGCCATCTTGAACCTTGCCTCTCCAAGGAAACTACAGCTCCCAGAATTCCGTGCGTCACGAGCGTAGTGCTGGCACGGGGCGTGGGCAGGAGCCATCTTAGTTGCTGGCCGGGCCTCGAAGCTGGGCCAGTCGGCCAGGCGCCATCTTTGAGGCTGGCAGCCCGGAGGGTCCGTGGCTGCTGCCCGAGGAACGAAAAGCAGTGGCGGCAGCGACGGCGACAGACCCTGGCAGCGGATGAAGGAAAGAGTCGAGGCCGCGGCGGAAGCGGTGAAGAGCGACTCCAGCCCGGTCAAGTTACGTTTTCAGGTAACTAGACCGTCCTCTCGACCCCGGAGCGGGTCGGGGTTCGGGAGTGTGGGGAAGCCCTGGGGAGGGCGGCCTAGGAAGCCCCGGGCGGGCCCTTCGTCAGCCCCGCCGTAACGACCCGGCCTGGCAGACGCCCCGGGCCCCCTCCCCGCGCCTGCTTCGCTCCTGTCACAGCCCGGCGGGTCACCCTCCCCGCCCCCACCCCGGCCGCCCCCAGCGTCACGGCCGAGCCGAGCGGAGCCGAGCCCGGACTCCTCCCCCTGGCCGGCCGCCTGCCCGCCTGCCCGTGCGGCCCGGCTCCGGCCCCTGCGTCTGGCCTGTGGCCAGGTGACGATGCCGCCTCGATCCGCCGGAGAAACTCCCCGAAATCGGGGCTCAGGACCCCGCGGCTCGTGGACCGAGAGGGAGAGGACGAGCTGGAGTCCGAGGCCCTGGTGTTCGAATCCCGACTCGGGCCGGGCATCGGGCTTCGTTGCGCCTCCAGTTTCCCTCCTCTGTTTAAAAAAAAAAAAGAAGAAAAAGAGGCTGGACTAGCTGATGACGTGTGAGGTCCCTTCCAGCTCTAGCTCGGGCACCCCATGATCCCTCTTCCTGCTAGTGTTGATGAAAGGCAGCAGCCCCTCTGTACGTACTGTGGCTCCCGGGAGACGAATGCCTTGTCTTCTTCCCTTTCGTCCGCTTTCACCCACCTCCACTTCTGGACCTGGATGACACGCTGTAAGCAGCCCCAGCGACGCTGTTTGGGGTCTGTCAGTCAACGTTTGTTAAGTGCCTACTAAGTGCCAGGCATTGTGCCGAGTGCTGGGGGATACAAAGACAGGCTCTCTCGGAGCTCAGTCGGGTGGAGTTCGACTGGGACCAAAGTGAAACAAAAGTTAATTCACTTTCCTGGGCTTGAGGTTATCAGGAAATGCTACCTGTGAGTTACTTATTTGCAGATTGTAAAGTATCTCCACTCCCCAAAGGAGGGTAAGGACCAGAATTGGGTTAATTCTTGATACAAATAGCAAATTCAGATCCGCAGTATAACTCTTGAAAACATGTAACATCTTGCTCTCAGGTGCGTTGGTTAGGTCCACCTCCCTGCTTCCAACCAAAAATTTTTAGTTTAAAATGGAAGGGGGGGAGGGGAAAACAAGCATTTGCTGTGATTGACTGGTATGTGGAGTCATCTGTCTACACTGAATAAAACGGCAGTTTCATTAGTTTAAAAATGGAACATCCTAGAAATAGATTCATAGTCTTTTAGAGTTAAAATCTGATAGCATCAAAAGGTTAATTGTATTATGTGGAAAGAAGGCCTGGGTTCTGGCTGACTCTTCTACTAACTCTAAATGACTTTCAGTTTCTGGGTCTTAGTTTCTTGATATCTAAAATGAGGGAATTGGACCATGTACTAGCTAGGACCTCCCATCTCTATAACTTTTTAAGATAGTTTGGAGATGTTTTCTTTCTGTTGTCAATTTTCTCACCCAAGTAGGACTGTATATCTAAAAGGAAACTTGAAGTGAAAGAAAAGATGATTCAAGTGGGGAGAAACAGCTGTATTACTACAATAATAAACCTATTACAAGATTCTTGTATAAGCTTTGGAAACCGGGAATATATTTTTGTTTCTCCTGGCAGTGTGCATGGCATTTTTAGTGATATTGGGATTCTGGAATATGTTTCAAGTACCCTTATTAATACAGGTTAAAAAAAGCAGGAATTCTTAACTTTTTTGTGTGTCATACACCAATTAGGTTGGCAATCTAATGAACCCTGAGGACTCCTCACAATGTTTTTAAATGCACACAGTAAAATGCATAAGATTACAAAGGAAACCATTTATATTGAATGACAGTTATAAAAATATTTAAAAATAAAAATTCACTGACTCCAGGTTAAGATCTCTTCTGACTCCCCCCGGTAGAGGGGGAAAATGGCTGCAAAAGAGATGAATGTTGGGACAGAGTTGTTTCCCAACAACATAAGAAAGGAAAGCCAGACCTCATCAAGAACTGGTCAGTTCCCCAAAAAATCATTGAAGATTTGAGATCTGGAGGATCTCAAGTGCCACACCTACTCCTGATATATCATGTACCAGTGCTCCCAAGCAGGATGAAGAACATCTTTAATTGCATGCTGTATAGCCAAACACATCCTGCTGGATACAAAAACCTCCCTGTAATGCAGTTTGTCTACATTAACCTTGATAAACCTGTTGAACAATTTGTAGCAGCTTTAAAAAGAAGTAAAGAAGTGTCAACATGTGTAAAAGGAGACATCCACATGAGTATCTCCACATTTCAGCAGTATTGGTAGACAAAGCTTGCAGTCTCCTGAGGCAATTCTAATAAAGTTGTACTGGCCAGTCAGAAGTAGCTTTAGGGAGGAAGATTATACCTTTTGTGTATTCAACTCCCACTACACTTCAAAATAAATGTAACAGTCTAGACAGAAGTAGGAGCTTTGAATGTGCCTCTATTTTTTACTTTAATATTGATAGAATGGAAACTATGTCAGTCATAAGCCTTGCAGTAAAAAGAAAATTAAAATTGAAGATTAAAAAGAAAAAGAAAATTGAAAGATAGATTTATGCCTCTCAGTTAAATTTTGGTTAAGGAATTTGTTAAAGATGATAGCTTAACTGTAGCTTCCAGCATGTCTTTAACAATCCTGGAATCTGATGTCCTTGTCTAAGAGACTTTCTTCATTAAAACCAGCACCATATCTTAATGCCTGGAACAAAACCCAAGACATTTGGAATTTGGAATTTCTGCTTTGACACTAGTACACCTGGTGGGCATTGTAAAGAGCTGGACTGACCAGGCACCCACCTTGGAAAACTACACTTTTAGGATTACCTACAGTCTAAGCATCCCACCACTGCCAATGTAATGGTGCCACTGGAAATGTGTTAGAAGTTGAGGATCTCTTCATAGGACCAGGAGCTGTGAACTTTTTTCTGGCTCAGAAAAATGATCAATTGAACTATCTTCTCAACTGGGAAAAATTTATAGGCAAATAAGATTTAATATTTCAAAACCTAACAGTCCATACTTCAGCTCTACCCCTCAAGTTAGGGATTCAAAATATTAAGATGCAGTAAGATGAGAAATACAGAGAAACAAAAATAAGCAGAACAAAGAGCAACATATGAAATAATAACAACACTGTAACTGAAAAGATCACTTAAAGGAGCTTAAATTCCGAGTAATAGATAAAGGAATGAAGGTCCAGAAGGATAGGTAGTGAAATGTCCCTTCTCTTTCATGGCAGAAAGGTGAAGGACTACTAGGACAGAATATCATATACATTGTCAGATGTACTCAAGTCAGCTCAATAAGCATTTATTAAGTACTTACCATGTGTCGGACTTGGTGCTAAATTCTAAGGCTAGAAAGGTAAAAAGCTCTCGAGCTCAAAGTCTAATGGAAGAAGCAACATGCAAACAACTACATACAAAAAAGATGTATACAGGGCAAAGTGGAGGTAAATCTCAGGTGGAAGGTTCTGAGATTAAGGGGGAATGGGAAATGCTTTATTGTAGAAGGTGAGACTTAAAGCTGAGATTTGAGGGAAGCCAGGAGCAAGAGATCAGGAGGGAAAGAATTCCAATGTTGGAGGATAGCCAGTGAAAATACCCCAGATGGGGAGATGTGTAGTGTCTTCACTGAGGAAAGGGCAAGAAGGTCAGTGCCACTGGATCCTAGAGTATTTGGAGAAGTAAGGTGTAAGAAGACTGGAAAGGCAGGAGGGGGCCAGGACTTTAAAATATAGACTTTATATTTGATCCTTGATGTGATAGGGAGCCATTGGAGTTTATTAAGTAAGGTGAGGGAGGTGGGGAATCAGCTTGACTAGGGAGTGAAGGATGGACTGGAGAGGGGAAAGACTTGAGGCAGGCACACCAAACATTAGGCTTTTGCACTATTTCAGACAAACTGAATGTCTTTGTGTAATTGTTTTCCATCACTAGAAAAAATGTCTAGGTAGTAGTAATAACATTACTGATTGGTAAAGTGGTGGCAACATTGCTAAAGGACAAAAGGCATCATAAAATAAAATACCATAAAGTCAAAATAAAACAACACTTAAAATTAACACACCACAGAATGTCTTATTGCAGTTCAAGCTTTGCATCTTAGCCACTTTGTTAGCTTCTTGTTGTAAAGAAAATTTAGATGACTTCCTCAGGGTAATGATTTAGAAACATAAGCAGATCCTTGTGGGAGAAGTTTGTAATTATATGGACATTTCCACAGAGAAGTGCCATGTGGTGACTTTAGAAGTTTCTGGCCTTATCGTCTATACTAGGAATTGATATGTTTATGGCTTGTCCTGAAAGAGAGCCCACTCCTGTTTAGGCCCCATTGACAGCTCAGCAACAGATAGTATTTCAGTGACAAGCAAAAGCCTTATATCACTCCTGCTGTAGCAGCAGCATTTGAAGAATACTGGAATGAAAAGTGTTCAAAATTATAGTAAGCAGTGACCCCTTGATATATTTGCAGAATATGAGACTTAATGGCCAGCTTTAACCCAAGTTGCCATTCAGTACCTAAACTGCCCCATCTGTAATCTACAATCTGAATGTCTCTTTATAAAACACCCATCTTGTCTCAAAGTAGATAGGCCAAAATTTTGAAAATATTGAACAATCGAGGTTTCCTGAAAATGAACTTAAACTTTAATTATGATTATTCTTTACTGGCTTCTAGCTGGAATATTATATACAGATAATATAATTTAGAGTGAATTCAATAACTATCCTCAATTTTTTTAAATCAAGAGGTATATAAGTATCTAAATTATTTGGAGAAAAAGATCAATTTAGAATAATTGAAGGCTTTTTACTTTGAATTGATCCCTTGGGAATTTGTATAACAAGGAGAAACCCAAGTTAATTGGCCAGTGAAATTAAAATTTTTACTATAGATGCCTTTGGGTAAAGGGGGTAGATAGTACTAAAAGTGGTAAAATATATTCTTACAATTTGGAGAGTCAAGATTTGTACAGGAGATGGGAGTGAAAGACACACAGAAACAATTTTGGCTAAGATGATTTTCATTTTCCAAAGAGAATGCTTTGCAAGACTTTTATTAGTGTGTTTAAAAAAAAAATCAAAACCTTGAAGTTAAGTGGATGTCCCATGAAACTGTCAAAAACAATTGTTTTGGACATTCTAATCTTGACTAAGAATAAGCAGTCTGCTTTTTGGAGTATTAATCTGAAAAATGAACTTAGACTAGGTGATCTTCACCATGTAAAAGTTTTTACATTAAGATGTAATTTAGTCCTTTTAAGTAGGACCAGATATATAATCATTAAAAAGGGAATGAAAGTTTGAGATTTTCTCCTAGCAAAACTTTTTTTAAAGCCCACTTTTATGCAAGTTGCTGACTAAGTAATACAAGATCTGATTTTTCCTTTTTTTTTTTTTAATTTTAGGTTTGGGGATATTCCCTGCTCAAAAAAGTCCTGGAAAATTGACTAGTGTTGTGTGAGTAAAAGGTGTCCACATTTTATTTTCAAATTCTAAGTAACATTTAATTTTTGTTTTGTCTTGGGTAGAATTTGACAAGATTTAGCCTAGAGGTTGTGCAACTTTTATAAGAATCAAAATTCCTTTTAAGTTTTGGGGGCTGGTTTAAAAATCTAGAATAAACCTTAAAAATAACAATGTTTTTATTTAAACTTTTTTGTTATAACATGTCAGCATCGTTTCAAAATTGAAAGTCTGAACACCTCACTAACCTGAATAGACAGGCTGTTATAAATTCCTTATTGGTAGTCAGTAGCTTAAAAAATTTGAAACAGCTGCTCAAGCAAACCTTTGCATGACTAATACTTAATGCCTTGCTAGCAGAATTGGTATTGATTTAAAGGAAATGTTGTCTTTCCCCAAATGTTAACCTCCCTATGTTTTCTATAATTGTGTTCAGAATGGCTTCTCTGCTTCTCTGCCATTATAGTTTGTTGTACCATTCAGTTGTCACTACTCTGATCATTTCCATCTATTTTGGTTAAAAATCGTGTGGAAACTTTGATGTTATACATGCATCCATACTATACACATTCATATGTGTACGGATATTATTTCATCAACATTTGTGGGCTGGTGCAAGATTTCAGCCTTTTTAAAAGATACCTTGATTCTGAGTTTTTATCATTGTTTTTTTTAAAATGCAGTCAAACCTAAAGATTTTTATTATGTATTTTAAAGATGAAAAATTACTCAAATGCTTTGGTTATGCACATTTGTGTATATGTGTTTGTGTGTATAAACCAATTTGTATATATGTATATGCTTATATACATATACACACATACCTATACCTTTACATACACATGTATTTTCAGTATACAGATAATAAAGATGGGGGAAGGTTTCTGTTTTTTCTTAATAGGTGAAGAAATCTTGAAGACCAGAATTGGATATTATTCAATTTTTTGTTTTTGTTTTTAAAAAAAAAAATAAATTGTCCGGCTGTGGAAGATGGATTTTTTTTTGTAGCCCTTTGAATTTCAAGTTCATCTTTAAATGAACTATTTTTTTTTTGGAAGAGATAACTAACCCTGGCTGTCTCCATTCTGAGAGAGGTTATTCGAATGGACTTATTCTTCCAGTAGTTGGGAGATGTTTAAAAAGCACAGCCTGTGTTTGAATTGTGGCTGAGAGGTGTTTCCTTGGCAATGTGAGGAGGAAAATTCTTTCTGCCCCTTTATTATTAATTCATGGATTGAGTGTTGGTTCGACCTACAGGAGTAATAAATTGGAATTCATTGAAGACAGACGATCCTATTGAGGTCACCCAGCTAATGTAAGTATGAAGATGTATCACTTGCCTTTTTTTTTCTTTTAAGGAGTAGATATTTCTATAATTTAAATTATAATTATTTAGAATATTAAGGTTATCTACATAATTTTCAGAAGCACAAGTCAAGCATTTTATGCTTTTTAGAAAAATGAGCATCTCTTGCAATAAGTAGTCTGCAAGAAATGGATTTGTACTTGAGTTTTAAACAGTTATTCTAGTCCTGAAATTAGACTGTTTAAAAAACAGCTCACTGGCTAATTAGGTTTGAACTCCAGTTTAATTTTTATTTGTTCTGTTTTTCTTTTAAAATGATATTTTTCACTGAGAGAATTGCACAGAATTGTCTTGATTCTTCAGCTTATATTTTGGGAGAATAGTAGTTTTCTGGTATAGCAGCTACATTATTAAATATTGAAGGCATTACTGTCTGTTACTTAGCAACATCACTGAACTATAACTTTATTTTTAACTAATGGCTTAAATAACGGCTGAAGAAGTGATTTTTTTCAGTATTAATAATTGTGCTCCTTCAAATAAAACTTTCCTGTGAAAATATGTAAGTATATACCTCTCACAGTTGAGTGAAAAGTTGAACTATGTGCTAATAGCAATTTTCAGAGGTCTCCATCCTTCATAATCAATTCAACAAGCCATTTATTCCATCCCTGCTATGTACTAAGTACTATAGGCAGGAGGGTTACAAAGGCAAAAATACAATAGCGCCTGACTTCAAAGCACTTACATTCTTATCAAGTAGGGATGATGGATACAATATGTACACAGAAAAGTAAATACAGTGTAATTTGGTGAATTAGGAGAGGCTTAAAATCAGAAGTGGCACCTGAACTGAGGCTTGAGGAATGCTAATGATGCTAAGATGCAAAAAGGAGGAGCCACAGAAAAAAAGAATAGGTCAAGGGGGCTAGTTTGAGAATTTTTGTGCAACATTTAACTTTTAGTTAACGTGAAACTTCCTAAAATTTTTATCTTTCACTTAAGTAAATATTGAAGCTGAGGAATGCATGAAATGAAAGTTCCATGCTTTATAATCTATAAATTGCCTCTTGGTGGGCTTGAGTGGTAGGAGTGTATGCTGTCTGCTACAAAGTGAAACAAGTCTGAACTCAGCATGGTGAAGCAGAAGAGGGATATCCTGAGGGCTTGTGAGCCTTACAGAAAGCATTTCCATAGCTACTGGGAAGAGGCCCTTGATTTACTCTCTGTGGTTTTTATGTTATATATGAAATGTAAGTAACTGAATTTCTGGACCAGGTTTTGGAATGAAAACCTAAGCAAATACCCTCCTGATTCTTAGTATCGGCACATACCTTAGCTTTTAATTAGAGTCCAAAAAGTGTGTGTTTACTGAAATGGAAGAGTCCTAGTACTTTTAGAAATATATTTCTTAAGTGACACAAAATATTCTGATGTGTAGTTTAGCATGGTCTATGTATATGCCCCAAACCATGTTTCCCACATATGTGCGTGCACACAGCTGTGCTGTCTCTTTATATTTCAAATAGAACAGTTATTTGTTGGGAGAGAATAGCACAAGAGATGCTTACACCTCAGCTTCCTTATCTATGATGTAGGGATAATAAAACTTGTAGTAGCTACTTCCCAGGATTATTGGAAAGATCAAGTAATCAATCACAATTATTGATTAAGTGCATACTCTTGTGTCCACTGCTGTGCCAGTTGCTGGGGATACAGGTAAAGAAAAAAAAATCTTTACTTGCAAGGAGCTTACATTTCGATGGTAGAGACAAATACACATAAAACATATGTGGCATATGTATAAGGTGAGTAAATACAAATATATACAATAAAGTAGTTTATGACAATGAAAATGTGATATAGCATGAGTTAAATAAAAATTATATTAAGTATTTTGCAAACCTTAAAGCATTATGCAAATAAATGTTAGCTATTTTAATTTTCCTTCTCAAGAAGCAGTGAGTTTTGACTGTGCAAAACAGCTCTTGCTTTCACCCTTGCAGTGTATGTATCTGTCATCAGTCAGTAGAGCAGGCAGAAAACAAATAACTTGCTTTTTTTTCAGAAGCAGAAGTTTTTCTTTAGAAGGCCCCCAGTGAGAAGAATTCTGACTTTTAGTTTACAGCCAGGGAAATTTGAGTTTAAAATATATTTGATTATAATATGTTCTTCCCTCTGCCTCCAGTGATGAATTTGGATGTAAATGCAACCATTTTCATTATTATGTAAATATATGTCCAGGTAAAAGGAAGTTCAGAAACATATAGATTTTAACTTTATTCCAGTAAAATAATTTGCACTTTCTAAGTCAGGTGCATTTGCTTGTGAAATAAGAATCAGATGCTTTTGTAATATTAAAGGTAGTGTGATACAATATAAAGGGTAGACTTGGAGTTATGTGATCTGAGTTTGAATCTCAGCTCTTCTACTTACTAGCTTTATGATCAAAGTCACAACCTCTCTGAGCCTCAAGTTTCCTTAGCTGTGAAGTGGAAGATTGGACTACATGATCTCTAAGGCCTCTTCTAGATCCATGATCCTATGAATCCTAATGTAGCAGTTTTCAAGTGGAAAAAAAGTCTAGATTATTTCTTCCCTGGCCAAGTCTAGCATGTAGATTGATAGGAATCATCTAAATATTAAAAAAATTATCTGAGTCATCTGTTTAGTTAGCAGTATTTATTGAGCATTTATTGAGCACTCTTCTGATGAATGTATTAGATCCCGTAGGAAATATGAAAGAGAAAAATGAAAGTATGATTATCTGCAAGGATTTTATAGTCTAAGTGAAGTATCACAAGTATAGAATATGCTTGTATATTGTATACAATATTGTATACACTATCCACATAGAAATTGCATGAAAGTATGTTTACAAAACAACATATATGGATTAACATCTTTGGATATTAGGATACAACTAGAATAGAGAAGGAGTGTGGTTTAGTTTACTGGATAGAGAGCAAGCCAGGAAAACCTGGGTTCAAGTCTCAAACCTAATAGATATTGATTTTGTGACTGGGCAAATCATTTTAACTTCACAGTGGCACAGGAGACTCATAAGACTGCAGATTGCCTTGAAGGTGCCAATATGCATCAGGAGAGGGAGTACCCTATACTAATGAAATCATTGGTCCAATACAAAAAGAGAAATAATGTAACAAACATTTATGGAAACCCTGGTATGCCCAAAGCATTGTGGTAGGCACTAAGGTAGATACAAAGTATGATGCCATTCCTATTCTTGAGATCATTGTCTAGTGGAGGGATAAGATACCAACACAGATTTTGCACTGTTACCTCATAAATGATCAAAATCATTTAGTGTTAGAAGTTGTAGGAGATGTACCTCATATACTTTGATTTATATTCCCTTCTATCTAAGGTAACGTTTTACAGAAGATTTCAGTGGTTGAATTGCCTGTGGAAGATTGAGACCATTTGAAAAAGGGTTGGAACCTGGTTCTCTTCTAGAGAAGTAGTGGCTTGTTTTCAAGCCCCTGCACTTGATCTAAGGATCTGGCCAGCATGTCTAATCAAGGAGAAGACTGCTACTTTTTTTTCTATTCTACATGTACCAAGGTAGAACTTAAAAGTTCTTTCTTATAACTGATTTCCTACATTGGATAAGATTTTCTCTAATCATTGTAATGTTTGTGTTCCACTGCTTATCTGTTTTATTTGGTCTTTTCATGCTCTTCCTCTAGGAAAAAATAGTGCACAATAGGGGAATTTGTTTATTTTTTATAATCTTTTTCTTCTTCTGATAGCTTTGTGGTTTTAGTTGTATTTTTTGTGTTTTGCCAGAGTGATCTTTTAAAAGGCATGTGATATAAAATAACATTAAGTTTAAAAAATAGTATGTATACACTGATTTGAATTACATAAAAATGTGTGCATGGACATTCACAGTTGGAAGAGAATTTAGAGTGTAAATAGTTAATGTTCATTGTCTTTTATTTTAAAGTTGCTTCAGCTTGTAACTGAAAAAGGTTCAAGGCACGTGACAAAGTTGCCATTCTGCATGGTCTGTACCATGTTTTTTTCTCTCTGCAGGCCTAAAATGGTAAAGACCACTGGCTGTAGGCTGTTGACTTTAATTTTATGTAATGTGACTGTTATTATGTATATGTAGTTGCCATGTTTCCATAAGTATGTAAATTAAGATTTATATTTTAATTCTTTCCTTTTCCAAATTTCCTGCTGACAACTCTGAAGATGAACACACACACACACACACACACACACACACACACACACACACACACACACACACTGATTTTCTAGCCTCCTTCATTTTGATATGTACTATTTGTCTCTTTCTTGTAATTTACACGTCTATGTCTTCATATGAAAGACTTTTTTCTGAATCCTTTTAGTAACATCATGCTTAGAATGCCCAAATAGGTGTGTAGTTCTCTGTTTTGATCAAAGCCCTAGAAATTTTGTTGATTCTAAGTACATATAGCCAGCCAATTATACTAAAATGGTGCTTAATTTCAAAGTATTAGCAATATGTGCTGCCTGTGTTATAGAACATGTGACTGGCCCTACCTTCTGGTCTAGCATCTTGATATTTTATATGTAGAATCAGCTTTACCTGTAGAAGTCAGGATATGTAGGTTGAAATTAAGCTACTGTTTATATATTTTTCAGGTTTTAACACTCTCATTTGTATTTTCTTTGACTCTGAATCTATACTTATATGTTCTAGCCTCAGATGAAATAAATAATAATAACTGTAAGAAATACCTGTAAGATATCTTTGCAAAGTAGAACCTATTTCCCTTAGATTAGTCCTACTTTCTTTGAACTTTTATTTTTTATTTTATTTTTTTATTTTTATTTTTTTATTTTTATTTTATCTCTTTTGCCTATTAAGTACTTATCACTGAGCAGCAGAGTTTTACATTTATAGATGTATGTGAATCTTTTAGGTCATAATTATTTTCTTTCTTCTTTCCTATTTGTTACAGGGAGATAGCTGCCCATTCCGGCACTGTGAAGCTGCCCTAGGAAACGAGACTGTTTGCACACTGTGGCAGGAAGGGCGCTGTTTTCGACAGGTCTGCAGGTTCCGACACATGGAAATTGATGTAAGTGGTCAGTCTAAGTTTAGTGACATTTGATAATCAGTAGCCTGAAACCAGAAACACTGGGTGGTAGGACAATTAAAAAAAATTAATTTCTTTGCTTTGTGTAGTTTGACGAGTAAGAGGAATAGGACAAGCTGGCATGCCTTTTTATGAGCTGGCAAACTTTATGTACTTATCTATATGGTTGAATGGGTTAAATATCACTTGATTGTGGAACACAGCAGGATTCACTACCGTAGGTCAACCTATGTTGTGAAAGTTTACTTCCAAGAAAGAGGTAGTAAAATCTCTTAAACCAAAGGCCTCAGGTGCAAGGAAAATTAACATCAGATCCTGAATTGGGACACTGAATTTCTGTGGCTTTGAAGCAAGAGGCAATTAAATAATTGCTATTATCATCATCTATAAAATAGCAATGATTATAATACCCATTTGGGAATTGTAAAAGAATAATTGCTCATTGTCTTTACAGGTCTTTGCTGGTAAAAATATCTGATCTTTGTGTGTGTTTGTGTGTGTGTGTGTTTTTTGAGGGGGAGCTTTATTAAAAGCTCTGGAATATTCTACACTCTATACTCTTTTTAATGCATCTGAGGTTCTTCATAAAATTAACAGTATTTCATCATTTTCTTTCCTCCTTTAACATTATAAATATTACTATTACTGATAATGATCTTTTAAAATTCCTACTGCTATAATTTCCTAGAAGCTTAGACCTTGGGCTGTTTGTTTTTATCTGTGATTGTATCACTGTGGGGAAGCCCAGTGAAGAATCTTCTTCTGTCAGTGCAGAACAATTCTTCTGCAACTTATAATTTTAGGGAAATGCCCAGTACAGTAAGAGGTTAAGGTGGCTTGCCCAGGGTCATATAGCTAGTAAGTGGCAGAACTGGAATTTGAATCCCAATCTTTTGGTTTCAAATCCAGCGCTATTTTTAAAAATCAATTTAGTTTTTGGTTCCAAATTCTCTTTTCCCCTTTTTCTTTTCTCTACCCATTGAGAAAGGAAGAAAAATAAAACCATTACAGATAAGGATAGTCGTGCAAAACATAGTAGTGTGTGTGTGTGTGTGTGTGTGTGTGTGTGTGTGTGTGTGAGAGAGAGAGAGAGAGAGAGAGAGAGAGAGAGAGAGAGAGAGAGAAAAGGAGAAGAGGGGGTGGGGCAGGAGGAGGAGGAAGAGGAGGATGATGATCAATTTGTACTCTGTTGTTCATTGTGTTGATCAGAGTTCCTAACTTTTTCAAAGTTGATTATCTTTACAATAATTTTGTAAGTTGTTCTTCTGGTTCTGCTTGCTTTACTTAATATTGGTTCATACATATCTTCCCAGGTTCTGAGGCCATTCCCCTTCATTACTTTTTATATCACAACTGTATTCTATCACATTCACATACCACAGCTCATGCAGCCATTCTCGTACTATTTTCACATGTACTGTGCTGTCTTCCCTGACTCATGAGCAGGAAGAGTAGATATGGGGAAAGTTGTGGATATACTTGGGGAGACAATGGACTGTTGTGGGTTAAACAGTAAACCAGATGGGTTCAGAACTGGTCAGATGGACAGACTCTGAGTAGTTGTAAATGGTTTGATATTAACTTAGCAGGAAGTCTCCAGAGAAGTACTCTAGGAATGTCTGCTTTGTCCTGTGCCTTTGGTGTGTATAAATGGGTAACGATATAGATAATCTCATCAAATTTATAGATGAGACAAAGCTGGGAGGTAGTCACTAATACACTGGATGATAGAGTCAAGATCCAAGAAGATCTTGTCAGGCTAGAGCATTGGGCTGAATCTAATACAAATGTAAATTTATGTATTTGGATAAAAAAAATCAACTTCACAAATAATAAGATGGAGAATGATTAGATAGCAGTTCTGAAAAAATCTGGTGGTTTTAGTAGATTGCAAGGCAAATAAAGTCATCAGTCTAATGTAGCAGTTAAAAAAGTTAATGTGACCTTGGGCTGCGTCAAGAGAAGCATAATTTCTGAAAATAGGGTGGTGAGAATCCTCTCGTATACTCTCCTTGTCAGAGTTCATCTAAGCTATTGTGTTCGATTCTGAGCATCACAGTTTAAGAAAGATGTTGATAAGCTGGAGAATGTTCAAAGATGGTAACTAGAGTGGTCAAGGCCCCTACCTTCATGGTGTATGAGGATCACTTGAAGGAAGTTCGGGATGTTTGGCCTGGAAAGGAGAAAGTCTATTGGTTGGCTTCAAGTATTTGAAGAGAAGTGTGGAGGAAGGATTAGCTTTGTTCTGTGTGGCCCCTGGGGAGAGATTGGTGGAAGTTGTGCAAAGACCATTTTAGGCTTCATGTCTGGAAAAATGAACAATTGGAGCTTCCTGAGAGTAGAATTAACTGCCTTGAAAGGTGATAGATTTCCCTTCCTTGGAGAGCTTCAGGTAGAGGCTGTATTTAATTCTTGATTGTCCTTTCAAGATAAGATAATCCCATTTCATATTTTGGTTTATCTCTTGATTTTTTTTTCTCTACAGAAAAAGCGGAGTGAGATTCCATGCTACTGGGAAAACCAGCCAATGGGATGTCAAAAATTAAATTGTGCATTTCATCACAATAGAGGACGCTATGTTGAAGGCCTTTTCCTACCTCCAAGTAAAAGTAAGTTCTGTTTTTATTTTAAATAATTCCATACATTTTTAGTCACTCTAATATTTTCTGGTTTTGATTTCTTATCACACCACAAAAATCTTCAAAAGAAGCTTGAATTTATCGGCTCCAACCTAAATCCAAGCCAAGCCAATAAACACTTATTAAATACCAACTATATTCAAGTCAGTATACTAGGTGTTGGGGACACAAAAGACAAAAGTAAGAAATCCCTTCCCTTAAAAGCTTACATTCTGAGCAGAAAAGGGAGAAGAATTAGATTCGGAATAGCAATTCTTCTTGTTGCTTCCTCTACCTTCTTTTTTTAAAATAAAATTTTATATTCTCTGCATACTTCTCTCATTCCTCCCCTCTTCCTTTAGTCTCTTGAAAAATAATACTATAATTAAGCAAACCAAAAATTTATCAACTGCTTTGAGTGGAGAGAACTCTAGCAGAGGTCAAGATAATTGAAGTCTTTTCTCATATATCATGTCTGAACTCCCAATCTCTTTGCTCTTTCTTTTCAGGAGATCTGAAGTACACCTATGATAATATCATTTCTGTTTCTCCATCTACTGAGCTTCACAGAAATACTTCCATTCATGCTTCCTTATCCTATTTCTGGGTTTTCTCAAATGAATTTTAGGGGGCAGCTAGGTGGCGCAGTGGATAGAGCACCGGCCCTGAAGTCAGGAGGACCTGAGTTCAACTGTGGTCTCAGACCAAACACTTGACACTTACTAGCTGTGTAACCCTGGGCAAGTCACTTAACCCCAATTGCCTTAAAAAAAAAAAGGAAAAAAATGAATTTTAAAAATAATTTTTGTTTTGTTATCACCTACAGTTTCCTCTGTATCCTTCTTCCTCTCCCCTTCCTGTCCACAAAGACATTTCTTATAGATTAAAAGATTTTTAAAAGAGTAAATTCAGCAAAATCAGTTATCCTATTGGGGGGAAAAAACTGATATTATGTACAATGTGCCACACCCATTGATATCCCCCTCTGCAGAAGAGAGGTGTGGGGTATCTTTTTGTACCTTAGGGCCATACTTAGTTTTTATAATTTAGAAATATTCAGTTGTGATTGGTTTGTGATTATTCTTTCCATTTTCATTGTTATGATCATTGTATAGGTTGTTTTTCTGACTATGCTTATTTCACTTTGCATCAGCTCACATAAGTCTTTCCTTGCTTGTCTGCAGCAGATTCATTATGTTCCTCGTTTCTTACAGCACAGTAATATGCCATTACATTTGTGTACCCCAGTTTAGCCATTCCCCAGTTGATGGGCATTTTTGTCTCCAGTTCTTTACAACTTCAAAAAGTGCTGCAATAAATACTTTGGTGTGTATGGAGCATTTCTTTTTGTTAAATATAACTTCTTAATCTACAAATGTAATTTTGTTTCTACTTTTTTTGCTTCTATTCCTTTTGAATAAGATTTAACCTTCCATATCCATATTCCAGTCATGGATCTTGTCTTAGCATATCTTGGTAATACCTTTGAGGTTACTTGTTTCCCTGCTTTGGTTTACTCTATTGCCCATATTTTGTGTAGCATCTGAGACCTCATGCTTTTTTGTTTTGTTGTTTACTGTGCTATCTACCTTATTGGATTTTGCATTGTTTCTCCCATGAATTTTTGGGTGTTTCTACTGTAATTTTTCCTGTGTTGGATCTCCTACTCTTTGTGATTCAGCAGATATATGTAGGCAGTTTTCTCCCTTCTCTCTTTACCATTTAAAATCTTTCTGGTGAGATTTAGAAAACTCCAAGCAAAATTATTTTTATCAGCCCTCGCACAGTAGATTCCATTTATGGCTAAGCATTTACCATTTCTGTATTTTAAGCTATGTCCCCAAATCCAAATTGTTTTTTTAATCACTAACTAGTTTTTTCATTCCAATATCTGCCTTTCTCTTCTGAAGCCCCATCTCCATTCTGCAGCAGTGACTGAAATACTTCTGTCTTAAACTTTTATAATCCCTAGTAAAGCTTTCTTTCAAAGGTCAGCTCAAATGCTGCTTCCTACTTGAGGCCTTTTCCGATCTCCTCAGCTTCTTACTGCCTCTTCCCCGAAATTATTTTGTATTTATTTTGTATACATTTCATAGGTAATTATGTGTGTACATAATGTCTCTCCTAGCAAAGTACCTGGCACATAGTAGGTGTTTAATAAATACTTCTTGACAAATGATACTACCAAAATCAGTCAACTAACAAGTGGTTTATCAAGTTTGAGAAGTCTGGGGGAGGATTTGTTCTCTCTTTTTATTTGTACTGCTGCTACTCTAATATAAGCCCTTGTTGCTACCTACCTGGACTCCTAATAGACCTCACTTTCACTGTCTCCTTCTTTTATCTCATAGTCAGATTTATCTTCTTTGTACATGTATTTGGTCATGACACTTCTCTCCTCAGACCCTTTTAATTACTCCCTGATGCCTACCAAATAAAGGTTAAAGTCCTTAACTTTATTTTCAAGACTTTTCATGGTCTAGCACAACCCCATATTTCTTGTTATCTCATACTACTGCCCCTGTATGTTCATGATACTCTAACCAAAACTGGACTCTTCACTATATCTATATAGGTCCTATGCTTTACTATCTTCAAGCCTTTGCTTATGCTGTTCCCTGTCCTTATAATGCCCTTCCTCTTCCACTTAACCAGCTTTTAAAAATTCAGATGCTGAATTTTTCATGTCATCCATGAAACCTTCCTCAGTTTTCCCCACTCTATGTTACTTTTCTCTCTTCTCTCTCCCAGCTTGCCATAACACTTTCATTTGTTTGCTTCCTCATTTATGTACTATCGTATTTTTAAAATAATTATTTGTGTGAGTTATTTCCCAACTAGACTATAAGCTCCCTAAAAACTAGGATGATGTTTTATCTAAGTTATGTATTTCTCCAAGCAGTTAGCGCTGTGTTCTACTAATCAGTAAATATTTATTTGTTGAATTGATTTGACTTGAATTTTACATCTATTTAATAAAAATTAAGTAAACAAGAATCTGTTGCTTAGCAGTTAAATGTAATATAGATTTTGAAGTGTAATCTACCATATTTTTTCCTTCTGCCTTGCTTAACAAAAGTTTTGATTTTTAGAATTCATAAAATTGATTATTAAGAATTAGTAAACACAGTTATTGGGACTTTTATATGTCTTGAATACAGTTGCATATTTGTAATTCTTCTTTTGGAATTTGAGGAATTACAAAATAGAAGACAGTTAATTCATCTGAAGAGGATCTATTCTAACTAGAGACTAAAAAGGAACATAACAAAAGTTTTATGAAAACTACTGAATCTAGTATGTGTAGACAAAGTAATTTGGAGTTCTGTTTTTCAATTGTTATTGACTTACTGCTGCCCTTTCATTTTTAGCTATTTTACCCATTGTGCCTGAATCACCAGATGAAGAGGTGAAAACTAGTCAGCTTTCAATGCAGCAGAATAAACTGTCTGTCCCGTCCAACCCCTCCCCCCAGCTTCGGGGTGTAATGAAAGTGGAAAGTTCAGAAAACGTTCCTAGTCCCACACATCCTCCAGTTGTAATCAATGCTGCAGATGATGATGAAGATGACGATGGTAAGCATCAACTTTATTTTGGAGATTGAGAAATGGGGGAACTCAATGAAAAATCACTCAACGAATCAGAGGCAGAACCAGGAAAGAAACTGTAAGTCTTCATCATTTTAAATTTTGTTTGTTTGACTTTATTCTCTAGATCAGTTTTCTGAGGAAGGAGATGAAACTAAAACACCTATTCTGCAACCAAGTCCTGAAGTTCATAACGGATTACGTATAACTGGTGCCCGGAAACCCGGGGTCAGCTTAAAGCAAGGTAAGAGTAGGTTTTAAATGCTGATCCTTTACCCCAGAAGTTCTTGATCTTTTCTGTTTTATGGACCCCTCATCAAAATAGTGTTTTAAAGTGCATAAAATAAAATATATAGGTCTATTAAGGAAAACAGTTATATTAAAATAGTTATCAGAATATTTTAAAATCAAATTCTTGGGCCCCTGGTTATGTATTTCTGCTCTTAGCCATAAGTTTTATAGAAATATTCACTAATTTGTGACCATTTTTTATAAAGTTCTTATTAGCATATGTTTTTGGCTTAGGGAGGAAGAAAACCCTGGCCAAAATGTCCTAGACAATAGACACTGCCTCTTTACTGTTTCATTTCCTCATTATACATCCTCTTTTGGCTTTGTAGGTGATAGTTTGAATTTTGGAATAAAAACTCTTGAAGAAATCAAGTCAAAGAAAATGAAGGAAAAATCTAAAAAGCAAGGAGGTAACGTTTGTGAGAAATTTTGACAGAGATAGTTGTTTTGATCTTGGAGAATACTAATTTTTCCAGACATAAGAATTAAAATGAATGAGTTGTTTTTGTGGCTTATTTTTTTTTCCTAGAAGGGTCATTTTTGTTCTAAAGCTAAGGATTGCCTTATACATTTAATCTGGCTTTATACTGATACCTAAATAATAGGAACTAAGCTTAAAATAGAAAGCCTGTTCACCATTTAACAACAAGATTTCGAAGAAAGGCAAATGAAAAACCATAAAAATTGGAAAATCTCACTGTGTACTAGAGTTGTCATTCCTCAGGCTGATGATAGAGTTTTATTCTATAATTGTCTTGAGTTAGTTGGTTAATGTCCTGAACCATCATCATCATCGTCATAACAGTAATAATTGCTAGTATTTGTATAGAGCTTTAAAGTTTGCAAAGTGCTTTACACATATTATTTGATTCTCATGACAACTCTGGGAGACAGGGGCTTTTATTATCCCTTTGTACAGATGAAGAAACTGAGGCAGACAGGTTAAGTGACTTGCCCAGGGTCACACAAATCCTAAGTGTCTGAGTCAGGATTCAAACTCTACTAAATTTTAAAATGCCAAGTTTCTTTATAAACAGTCATTTTTCTTGGAAACTCTTCTCAAGCATATTCTATATGATGATCATCTTTATGGGTCTGTATTCAGAATTCAGGTCTGAAAAGTTTATTTGACACACATAAAGATGAGAAAGAAGTAAGACTCAGCTAGATAGGAATGAATGTCGTAGCAAAGAAAAATTGAGGTTATCCGTAGAGTTATTTTTTATAATGTTTGCCAAGAAAGTAAAGGCAGATTAAATTTCAATGGCTTTAGACCTTGGTCCTCTTGCTATGTCTATAATGTATCAGTTTTACAGTAACAATCTGAATTTTATTAGTGTCTTTTTCAGTATAGAGTATGTTCTTTCAGTTATTTTCACAGCATCCCTGGGAAAAAGAAAGCTAGGATAATTATCTTCATTTGACTGAGTAGGGAACCTTACAGTACAGAAAGAGAATTAATTTGCCCATGGTTATAGGATAGGTTGATGCCAGATATGGAATAAAACCCATAACTTCCAAATCTTAGTCCATTGTTGGTTCTTCTGTGCAAACAGTATGTCTACCAGCCAACATTTAGAGTTATAAATTAGGAAAATAAACACTAACTTAAAAATTGTCCTATACTAGCAAAAATGACACCTTTTTTTGTGACAACTATACCTTTGTTCAATCCTGTCACAACAAATAACTTGGCAGAAGACATCACTGCGTAACAGAAAAAAAAATCCAAGTTTTGTTTTTCTGACCTGTGAAACACTCAATTTATGTCATGTTTCATCAAACAAAATTTCAAAGTTTCATGTAATTTGACCTGTTTAACAAAAATAACCATAACATTACTCCAGAAAAAGGGCATCTGGGCCCAAAGTAGGTTGTCCATACAAGATTTTTGGTGCAAAGGTAGAAAAGTTTTCAAGTGTCCAAGGCAGCATAAATTAAGCTCAATAATTAGCCAAGCAAGTTTCATTCATTCTCCCATTACTAGAGCTTCTCTGCCCTTCCTACCACCCTAAGACTGAGCCTGGCCAAGGCTACACTCCTAAGATGACAGGTCTTTACCAAGCTTAGCTCAGGATAGGCAGGAGGTACCCAAAGTGACCTGCTGGTGCCCTGTTATTTTGGCAGGATCCATCCTAGGCAGTCTGGGAACCCCTCAGCCTGCAACAGCTTTAAACACTTTTTAGTAGGATCATAGGAATGTAGATTTAGCACAGATTAGATAAGAAAACTGAGGGTCCCGAAAGTTTAAATGAATTAATTTAAATGAATTGCTCAGGGTAACAAAGCTAGTGAGTGATAGGACAGAACTCAATTCCAGATCTTCTGATTCCAAAGCCAGCACTGTTTTCCCTTTACTGTATGTTGCTAAATAACTTTTTTGGCTCTGTAGACACCTGATTTTGTAAACAAAACCAGTCACTTCAGGGACCCAGGAGTGAATTAGTGAATTATTGAAGATCTACTGTGAGATACTTAAAATCTTAAATCTTAATTGTTTTCCACAAATGGTTTTTGTTTTTGTTTTTTGCTTTATTCAGAAGGGCCTTCAGGAGCATCTGCTCACTTACTTCAAGCTCAACCCATTCCAGGTCCTGAGAAAGAGAATGTCAGAACTGTGGTGAGGACAGTGACTCTGTCTAACAAACAAGGTGAGGTATAAGCAGGGTTTGGGTTTGTTACTGCCCTGCTTATACAACTGGCAGAGCAAGATAATGGGTATTTACTACCTTTGTCTCTGTTGAAGGTTCCATAGATAAAAAGATATTGATGATTTTGAATATGTTGGTGTGTTTTTGAGCTTTGCCTGCTTATGTGAATGCATTCATTCCCTCATTCAAATGCTTGATTGCCTACCATGTACAAGGCACTTTGGGGTATGTAGAATGCTCTTTGCCCACAAAGACTTTAAAACCTAATCGGGGAGATAAAATTTGTACACAAATTACTACAATAAGAGGTAATAACAAATGAGCAGTGAAAAGTATAGTAAGAATTCATAAGAAAGAGAAATTAATTTTTGTTGGGCTGGTTAGGGAAGATTTTTGTGGAAGAATAGTGTTTCATCTGGGCCTTATAGGATATAAGATGGTGATGAGAGAGGAGATCATTGTTGGCAAAGGGAATAGCGAGAGTCTTTCAGAAAGATAGCTCCATGAAGTCAGGAGTTATATTTATTTCTGTGGTATTACATCTGCCAATGGAAACAAATACATAGGTGAGATGGAGTTTCAGACATCTGCTTTTTAATTCAATTTGGTAAACAATTAAATGACTGCTAGGTACTGGAGATACAAAGGTTAAAAAACAACACAGTCTCTTCCCTCAAATACTTAAGGGTGAGAGATGCACAAATGCTATAAAATAATATGTTTTAAAAGGTATAAATATAACTTAGAAAATGGATAAGTGCCTGGGAAATGTTAAATAGAACAGCCTGAGAAAGTCAAGGAAAGGGAAATCACTTTTATCTGGGAGAAAGGAGGGATTAGAGGGGATCTCATGTGTCTTGAAGCAGGAAGCTTCAACTGGGCCTTGAAGAAGAAAGATGTTTAAGGAGGATAGACTCAATTCAATATATAGTTAAGTGTATATTAAGATATTAAGACGGGGCAGCTAGGTGGCACAGTGGATAGAGTACCGGCCCTGAAGTCAGGAGGACCTGAGTTCAAATGTGGTCTTAGACCAAACACTTGACATGTACTAGCTGTGTGACCCTGGGCAAGTCACTTAACCCCAATTGCCTTAAAAAAGAAAAAAATGTTTCAAAAAAAAAGATATTAAGAATATAAACTTGACTACTGTATTTAAAGCACTGGGAATACAAATACAAAAATGAAAGAGCTCTATTCCCAGGGAACTTAAATTCTATTTGGAGAATATAATAAGGACATAAATATAACATAGGCTAGGAAAGTGAGGAGAGCAAAGGAGAGGTCAGAAGCTACTCTAGGAACATATAAATATGGAGAGAATATTAACAGGTAGGAGTGGGGTGGGGGAATCAAGCAAAGCTCCATGGAGGAACTGAAACTTAAATATAAAGATTCTGAAAGAGATAAAAAGGGAGCATATTGCAGGTATGAGAGATGACTTATGCAAATGCACGGAGGTAGGAGACAGCATGTTGAATTCAAGGAACAACAAATTGCACAGTGTGGCTGGAACATAGAGAGTAATGTGAAATAAGGCAGAAGAGGCAGGTTGGAGCCAGAGTTTATATTATTTCTAGAGACAGTGCGGAGCTACCAAGGGTTTTTGAGCAAGGGAGTAAAATGGCCAAGTCCTTTCTCCTAGGAAGATTACTTTGAGATTGCATGAAAGACGGCATGCAGATGCACGTCACTGGTAGGTAAGCCACCTAGTAATGAAATTTGTTCATGGCAACCTATGAAACAAAAATGAAAATGGACCTCAGGCCTGCATATAACCTTCTTCTGCTTCTCTAACGATGGTGGCAGAGTAGCAGAAAAGGTGCTGCTAAGAGCCACATTATTTTTAGACTGTCAGCAAACTTCAGTTTGACTTTTGTCCTTTAAATATGAGATCCCGGGGGCAGCTAGGTGGCACAATGGATAGCGCACTGGCCCTGGATTCAGGAGGACCTGAGTTCAAATCCGGCCTCAGACACATAACACTTACTAGCGGTGTGACCTGGGCAAGTCACTTAACCCCCATTGCCCAACCAAAAAACAAAAACAAAAACAATAAATATGAGATCCCTGTCCAATGACTGAGTAGACATATTGCTAAAGTTACTGAATCATATCACTCTTAACATTATTCCCACAAACAAAACCAGAAGAAAGAAGGATAGATCACAGCTAAATGGAGAGATCACAGATACCCCTTGTCGAGGCAAAGTAATTGGATTAAGTTTTGTAGTGTGCCTAAAGACTGCAAAGAAATATTATTTCATGGGACATTTGGGCACTTATATGTTCCAATATTTAGGATAAATATGTGCCAAAAGAACAACATAAAAATAACTTTAACTTACGTATCAAATTTGGTTGTTGAAGATGAAGTGGTAGAGAAATTCAACAAATCAAATCAGTGGACCCTTTGATACTTGGTAATTCAGTATGATGATGGGAAAAAGTGAGGATGAGGAGAAATATACAGGAAAATATGGTTCAAGAGAAAGAAATGGGAGGCCAAAGACTTGATTACACAGAAGCCTTGTGCCTCAATATCATTAATACTTTCCTCAGAAAAAAAATTGGTGGGTGTTAGACAATTACCAAAGAACAAAATTAATTATATTTTAACAGACAGGAAAAGACTTATTGTGAGAATTATTCCTGAATGATCTGTCTGCATAATCAGATCATCAAGTCAGAACTGATAAGATCAGAGCTTATAATAAGAAGAAAAGAGTAAGAAAAAATATAGTGTACAGTTAAAAAAAGATTTAACCTTGAAATATTTAATTTCATCCAGAAGTTAAACCAGTGGAAAATAATTGCCACAACAGGGAGACCAAAAAATCCCAGAAACACCAGAAACAACATTTGATTTATTTGTTTATCTACAGAAGAAAAAATGGATTATTTTTTCTTTTAGAAGGATAGTGAAGATAATTAGGTCCAGGTGCTTCCTTTTTCCACAGTGGAAATGAACCCTCATTTTCTTGGGTATGGTAACAAGAGAGTAAAATAGGTGCCCTTTCCACATAAGAATAATAGTGATCTGGAAGGCTACATGATGAAGAAATCTCCAATAGAGCACATGCTTGGGCCAGGGCAGTGACAGCATCCATGGCGAAGCCTCTTTCATCACCTGTCTTTCAGCTACCTAATGATATGTTTGATAGCCTAATTTCTTTCTCAGCAGTGGCAGAAGCTCTGAGGGCTCCATGGGCAGCTCAAACTTGTCTTGAACCCTTATGAATTCTTGATTAATGAGAATCTTCCCTTCCATTCCCTGGCATCAATCAACAGCATACTGTGTGCTAGGCATTGTGCTAAATGCTGAAGATACCAAAAAAAGGCAAGAAACCACCTCTGCCTGCCCTCAAAGAGCTCACATTTTAATGGGAGAGACATATTAATTACTAGGTACATATAACATATAGACAGAGTAGATGGAAGGTAATTTCAGGAGAGGGCATTAGTAGATGGGAAGGATGGAAATGTTCTCTTGCAGATGAACTGAATGTTGAAGAAAGTCAGGGAAACAGAGGTAATGATGTAATACATTCCAGGCATAGAGGACAAGCCAGTGCAAGGGTACAGACATGGGAAATGGAACGCCATGTGTGAAAAATGGCTGATAGACCAGTACAACTGAATCGTTGAGTATGTGAAGGGAAGTTAATTGTAAGAAGACTGCAAAGGGAGAAGAGGCAAGATTGTGAAGAAATTAAGTACCAGGAATTTATATTTGGGAGTTATTAGGGAGCTGCTAGAGTTTGAGTAGGGGAGTGACATAGACTTATGCTTTAGGAAGATCATTTGGCAGGTGAGTGGAAGGTGGATTAAAGTGGGGTGAGAATAACAGCAGGGATATTGATTAAAAGGCCATTATAGTAGTCCGTTCAAGAGGTGTTGAGGGCTTGTAGTAGGGTAGTAGCTATGTAAATGGAAAGAAGGTATTCTGTATGAGAGGTGTTGTAAAGGTAGAAATGACAAGATTTGGCATGGGGTGGTCAGAATAAAGAGTTGATGATGATCTCAGTATTCCAAGCCTGGGTGACTAGGAAAATGGTAATGCCCTCCACAGTAATTGAGAAGAAGAGAAAGATTCAGAGAAAGGATAGCAAATTCTGTTTTGGATCTTTTGAGATGTCAGCGAGCCATACAGTTTGAGATGTCCAAAGAGCATCTAACAGTGCGTGGCTGGAACTCAGGAGAAAGACTAAGGTTGAACAGAGAGATCTGGATTCACCTGGATAGAGATACTTGAATCCATGAGAATTAATGATTTAGATGGAAAAGAGAAGAAGGCTCATGATAGAGTTTTGGACAACACCTTATAACAGGATCTCTAGCAGGGGACGGTGGGTAAAAGGCCATACCAGAAAGTGCCTAGAGGAATTGACAATGAGTAGCAGGATGTTTGAGTGAGTCAGTGTGTGCCACTCCACACTCTTCAAACTAAAGTGACCTGGATTATAGGCTTGTAAATCTTTGATGATTAGGACCTCTAGAGCAAGGCTGAGCTCAAATGTGGTCAAACCTTCCCATAATGTAGGGGAGTTATACTCATCCTAGAAGTTACTCTGTACATGAATCAAACAGTCTGCTTCTAACAAAAAGGAATTTATTGCAGTTATGTAAATTGGAGCTTGTCCGGAAACATGGAGCCAAGAAGACAGGACAGAATTGAAGATTATTTACCTGAAGTTTACAGTACTTGAAGAGTAGCAACATGAATTATACATTAGCACCTGGTTGTAGGGAGCCTTGAATTACAGGCTAGGAAGTTTCTGCTTTATTCAGTAGGCTGTGGTCTCTTTCAGCAGAGGAATGATGCCATCATACCTATATACTTTAGCAGTGGTATGAAAGATGGATAAGAGAAAAGACAGTCTAATGACAGGGAGACCAGTTATAGGCCAGTTGGTCCAAGCAGGAGGTGATAAGAGTCTGAGTTAGGGTGATGGCATTTGAGTTGAAGGGATGGATATGAGAAACACATATCAATCAAGGAGCACTATTAAGTACCTGCTATGTGCTGGCACTCTATTAAACACCGAGAATACAGAAATAGAAATGAAACAATCTTTGCCTTCAAGGAGGTTTGATTCTGTAAGAGGAAACAACACGTACACACGTAAGTAAATACAAAATATATGCAGAAATAAATACAAAACAATTTCAGAATGAGATGCCAAGTAGTTGAGGGAGATTATATAGCATATTCCATTCTCGGATAACTCTTAAGTGTTAGAAAGTTTTTCCTTATGTTAAGTGTAAATCTGCCTCTTTGCAGCTTCTACCTCTATCCTCTGTGGAAACTAGTTTAATATGTCTTCTCTGTGACACCCTTCAAATACGTGGAAACAGCTTCTCCCTCCTCCCCTTCCTCCCCCACCAGATGTGCTCTTTTCCATGCTTAAAATACTCAGTTCATTTAGCCAGTTCTTGTTTGGCATGAACTCAAGGCCATCACAGTATCTTGGTTTGCTATCCTCTGAACTCTCTCCATTTTATCATTTTTCTTCCTAAAATATGGCACCCAGAATTGAACACAGTATTCCAACGTGGTCTTGGCAGAGCAGAGTGAAACAGATCTGTCTGTCCTCTCTGTCTCTCTACATTATCCCCCTTGTCCCACTCCTCTCCTCCCCTGCCCAGCTTCCCACCCTGTTCCAAACACTTTGACTCACTTCATGCAGTCTGAGATCTCATTAGCTTTTTTGGCTTTCACGCTACACAGTTGATTCATAATAAGTTTGCAGTCCAGTAAAACCCCCATATCTCTTTCAGGTAAAATTCTGTCAGTTCATGCCTTTTCCATTTTGTACTTGTGAAATTGTTTTTTGGAAACTAAGGTTAAAACTTTGTATTTATCCCTTCAAATTCATCTTATTAAAATCAGTTCGAGGTTCTAATTTGTTGAAATCTTTTTGGATTGTGACTGACTTTCAGGTTATTAGTTATTTCTCCCAGTTTTGTCATTTGCAAATTTGATAAGCATGCCATTTATGCCTTCATTCATGTCGTTCATAAAAATGGTAAATATCACAGGGTCAAGCACAGATCCCTGAGACAAAACACTGGGAGATAAGTCGATATGGTACATCACATTCTCCTGGGTTTCCTACCTTTATTTATCAGGACTTCTTTTTCTTCTCTGTCTCCTTGACCTTAGTACAGCCTCTTAAGCTTAGTATTTCCCAAAGCTTCTTCTTGGGCCCTCATCTTCTCTCTCCGAATTCTCTTCCTTCACATTCTTATTCATTATCTTAACCTGTAGCTTCTATGTTGGTGGTCCCAAACTGTGTATCTCTTGCCCTTATCTCTATGTCTAGCTTTAGATTCTTGTTTCTGTCTATACTACATCTTGAATAGGCACTTCAGCATATACAAAACCAAAAAAAAATTTTGATTAAATCTTACCTCTAAACATGTAACTCCTCCTGACTTCATTTTTTTCCGTCAGTGACATAAAAATTTATGTGATCTCCTATAGTTGAAAATGTAGTGCTTTCTTAATTCTTTTTCTCCCATTCACCTTTCCTCTTCAGTCCACTATCAAGTCTGGCTGGTGTTTTGATGTTTCAGTGAGTTCATGATGACTTTTCCCTTCATTGGTGCAGAGAGTAATCACCTTATCCTATGTGATTTGTATCCGTGTTCATCCATAGATCATCTAAAGAGGAGTTGCTCACTGCACTGGAGGCCTTCCTCTAGCTTTTTTTTTTTAGGGGGGTGGGAGGAGGGCCTTTGATTTCATTGATACCAGTGTAGAACTTTTGATTCAGCATCTATGGTATCTCTTATCTGTTTCATTCTTTCTGTTCTACTGATACTGCTCTAGACAGGCTTATAAACACATTTTTTTCTATTCTTTTAATTCTTGCTTCATCTCTTTCAGGAATTCTAGTTGAACCTGTACCCAAGTCACACATCAGCTAAGTCTGGTAGTATGTGCAGTGTTACATGCCCATAGTCCTTCACCTTTGCAAAGAAATTAGAGAAATGTGTTTTCTCATCTCTTCTTCAGGGCCAAGCTTGAGGGACCATACCTTTTCTAAATTTTCTGTCTCTTCCAGTGCCTAGTGTAGAATTCTGCCCACAAACATTTGTTGAATTGAAGACATAAGTTCATTGCTATGGAGGAAAGGACACGAATGAACTGATGTTAGATTACTTGACTATTAATGCTGTATTTTGTAGAGTATACTTCAGTATTGTTTCATGTCTTCCACTTGTTGACCTCTAGGATGTCATAGTAATTAATGTGCTGAATTGTTTTTATTATTTGAGACTGTACTCCTACCCCATCCCATTGCAAAAGTGGGGGACCAAAGGAGGAGGAACATTGTATATAATATTGGATTTTTTTCAATATGTTTATTGGGTTTCTGAATTTTTTTTCCTTTCTTTTTAAATTTCTTTTGTTATAAGAGATAGCTCTCTGGGAAACAAGGTGAAGAGAGATACAGGGGAAATCTAGGTGACATAAAAACAAAAGACATAAAAATCTGTCTTGTAGAGTAGTATAGTGGAAAGAATACCAGACTTGGAATCAAGAAAGACTTGGGTGCAAATCTTTCTTCTAGCACTTATTAGCTGTGTGACCATGGGTTATTCATGTAATTTGAGCTTCTGTTTTTCCCCTCTGAAAACGAGACTAATAATAACTGTAATATCTAACTCAAATTTGAGCAGTTCAAGTGAGAAATTGTATGTCAGCACTTCAAAAAACCTTCAAGTGCCACACAAATGTCAGCTTTTGTTATCATTTTAGGTATTAAACTACCATTCTTAGTATTTTCTGGTTTTTTGTTAAGTGCCCTGCATTCACCAAGCACTAGTGGTGGTTAAGGATGATAAATTTTAATTCATTTATTGTTTGCCATTTTAGGGGAAGAGCCCTTAGTACGATTGAGTCTTACAGAAAGGCTGGGGAAGCGGAAGCTCTCAAGTAAGGACATTTTGTGCAAACATTCTTTTGTTTGCATATGTAACAAGCTGTGGTCTATTAGAAATACCTTAAGCAATGTCCCCTCCCTAGAACTTCCTTCACAAAAACAAGCTATTGATGTTGTCTTATCAGTCCTCTATACAGTTCTTAAGAACATTATCTCCAAGTTTACTTCTCCAAATTCTTTTTGTCCTATATTTGTTTCACCTTTTCAACAGTTATGTGAATTAAAGTTCAAGTTTTAGTTTGATTTTTAATAGTTCTTTAAAAGGCCCTGAGCTAAAAAGACCGTGAGTGCTCCTCTTCTTTTTTCTTTGTAAAAAGAAAATTTTAAGTAATTTTTTATAAGAGGGATAAAATTTAGACTTAGTAAATTTTTTATGTCAAGATTTTGGTTGGCTGAAAAGTATTAATCAGTAAAATCACTTTCTTAGCAGTGTGTTTTTAATTTAAAGAGTAGAACTAAAATATCCTGTCTTTTTTGAAAGACCATTAACATACTTTCTGTAGCTATCCTACTGTGAAGGTGATAGACTTCCTAAGTTTGGGAAAACTCCTGATTTCAGAGGTTCCCATCACACTATTTTAAATAGTGTTGGCCTGGCAATTTAATAGTGCCTGCGTGGGGAGGAGTAGTAGTATTTTTATAGACAAATCTTTAAAACTTTGACCATTTAAAATTACACATTTAGCTGCCAAGTTCCCAAAGGCTAAGAAAAGATAATGTAATTTTAGTGAAGTTTTTCAGTTCTTGCTATTTGAAATATAAAACTGTTTATAAAATGCTTTTGCAACCTAAATACTGCCTAGAGCTAGAGAAAGGAAATTGATATAAGCTCTTGGGTGTTCATAGTACCTACATTATCTTTTACTAGTTTTAGAGTCTAAAGTATATCTTTAGGAAAGTTTGGTCTTTGACAATCTAGAAAAAAATTTAAATATTAAAAATTGCTATTTAAACAGCTTACACCAGGCAACATGGTATACTGAAAAGAGCTCCTGTCTAGGAATCAGAAGGCCTACATTTTGGTTCTGACTTTCTCCTCCCAGTTATTTAAACATTATCTCTCTGAGCCTCATCTTCTTTGGTTGTAAAAGGATAGGATTTATATTCACTGATCTCTAAAGTTCCTTCCAGTTCTTAAATTCCAGTTGTTTGTGGTGTCACTTTGGTTATTGGAATTTACCTGTTAGCGAGTTAGAATTTTTTGCACGTTCTTGGTCTTGACTTTAGTTAGCTTGTTATGATTCCCACATTGAAAGTTACTCATATCTTGTTTTCATCCCTGTCCCACTATCCGTACTCTATGAAAATTTCATTACCTTCTGTGAGGTAGCGTTGTTGAGTTCCAAGGAAACACTACTATTTATCATCTAAACAGAAAAAAGGACACTAATCTACATAGATTTATTTACTTTTTCCTGTTTATGGTTTGTCTTAAAAAAATACTTTCAACTAAATTCATATTTTTCCTTTGATCTAAAAGGTATTGACAGTGACCCTCCACTGAAACGAAGCCTTGCGCAAAGGCTTGGTAAGAAAATTGAGTCTCCAGAAATGAATACTGACAAAACACCAAAGAAAGGTACTTGTTTATAAATTTTTTAAATTACTACATACCTTTACATTTGCCACTAGCTTTGTTGACAAGGGCTCTTGGTTCCCGAACTGTTCAGGCAAATTAGATGATGGATTTTTAGGGCCATGTCATTCCCTTTTCATGATTTTTAACATGACAAAATAATTTACCAAAGCCCCTCAGTTTATTTGCTTTGTCAGTTGGGCAGAAATAGTTTTTCAAATTTATTTTCCAGAATACTCTAGAGATATGTGATTGATGTAGAAATCATTTTGTCAGAACCAGGTTGTTGGGGTCAAGGACTAGAAAGCAGAGATTTTGAGAGAAAAGAAGTAGATATATAAATGGAAAAGGTGAAGCCCCAGGGAAATTACAGAGTACTGGCAGTAAGAGAAAAGTGTCAATTTCATTATGAAAATTTAAAAGGAATACATGAAATTCAATTAGATACCGAAGAGAATTCTTAGTTTAATAATTCTGTATACTATTGCCAGCAGATTTGTCTTTATCATGTCTTTTATTGTTTTATTCTTTTCATTTTTCAGTTCAAGTTTCTAAGTCTCTGAAGGAGAGATTAGGAATGCCAGCTGATCTAAACAGTATGGAGACAACAGGTAGTGACTCCTAAAACTGATTCCCATATTTCCTACCTCCCATAACAACATATATGTTTTCTCTGAATTGGCCATTCAAGGCAGGTTAGATGTTAGACTTTGAAACAACGGGTGTTCTTATTCACTAATAAATAATTCAATTTTCCTTTCCCTTCTGTTTTCTCTTTTCCCCTACCCTCCCATTTCCAGTCATTATTTTCACTTTGTTAGACCCTTTTCACTTAGTGTCTCTTTTATATAAGAGGGGAGAATATCATTTCTTAGTACATAGGGATCTAATTTCTTCATGTTTTTGCTAAAAATGGCTGTTCTTTAGTATGAGCAGAAATTTATTTTTATTTCAAAAAGCATGACTAATCTATAGATTCTGTGATAGATGACTACTTACTACTATTTTGAATATAGAATTCATAATATCAAATGTCTTTTACTAGTGTACCATTTAGAAAACAGCTTTCAGGTGGCACAAAAGTACCTAATAAAGTCAAAAGTTATTTTTCTTGGTGGTAGCAGAACGATCTGCTAAAGGTGGAGAGATCCATGTGAAGACACTAGAAGAAATACGTCTCGAGAGAGCCAGCCAAAAACGAGGAGACTTGCAAACCAAAATCAAGAATGAAGGGCCTTATAAGACAGAAGATTCCAATTTAGGGATGAAGAGCTCTTCTGCTATCCGAATCAAAACATTTTCTGAGGTTCTGGCTGAAAAGAAACACCGGCAGCAGGAAGAAGAGAGACAGAAAGCTGAGAAGGAAAACCCTTCTGTTAAGCTCAGAATAGAGAGTGAGTCTAAAAAACCAGTAATCTTGCCTCCCACTGCTGTCAGCAAAGGGCAATTGGAAGAGCCTGCAAGTAAAACAAAGCCCATGCAGGAAGTACACATAAAAACCCTGGAGGAGATCAAACAGGAAAAGGCATTGAGGGTTCAACAGAGTGCTGAGAACAGCACCAACTCCCAGCCACAGCCTGAGACAACTCCAGTCATAAGACGACTGCTCCGCATCACTAAAAGAACAGGTAGCAAAATAATTTTGTTTGCAAATTAACCTTTGCTGTACTACCAAGGTATCCGTTAAGCTAAAGATTTAATTCAACACAAACTAGCCTGAATTTAAAGGTTAATGATTGGAGTTTGATTTGAATACAGGTATAAAAGAAGAGAAGAAACTTACTGAAGCAGGTGAAACCACATCTCGACTTGGTGTTAATCGAACAGAGGCTGTTGAGGTGAGAACATTATCAATATGGTTTACAAATAGTTACTTTCCAAGTAAATGCCTTTTCTTCTTATATCTTAACCACTCCCTATAGTATTTTGCTTGTTGGTGATTAGAAGTGAACATTTTTCTCCTTCCCTCTCCCGTTTTTTAAAAGGACGCTTTTTTCTTCTGGGTAACCTAGGATTTTAGAGAGATATTTTTAAGCCCCTTTAATCCTCTTTTCTAGGTGATACACCAGGTTTTGAGCATAAATATCATTTAGACCATGGAAAAAGACAAACATTATGCATTCCATGTTGGTCATTACAGAATTCTTCTTGTTCTCCACACTTTTTTTTTTCTTTTGGGTGAGGCAGTTGGGGTTAAGTGACTTGCCCTGGGTCACACAGTTAGTAAGTGTCAAGTGCCTGAGGCCAGATTTGAACTCAGGTCCTCCTGACTCCACGGCTGGAGCTCTGTCTCCATACTTTTTGAAAGCAATACTATCAGTCCTTCATTACCTTGCTAGTAGTTCTTTTGGCCATAGTCTTTTGTTTAAAAATACTAGAGTTAAATTCTGTTGGATCTTTTATAGGTTTTTTCACAGCCTTCAGATGAGACCACAGGAGATGGCATTTCCAAAGTTCAAGTCAAGAAATTTGAGGATATCATGAGAGAGAAGCGAATTCAGAAACAGCAAGAGGTGGAGATACTACAGAAGGAGAAAACTGTCTTGACCCCCCTTCAGGAAGAAGCAGCACCTAGTAACACCCAAATGGCAGAGAAATCAGAACTAATTGCTCTGCCAGGGATCACCCGCCAGCAGACAAAGCGCATGCCAATGAAAGCCCAGCAAGTAGAGGTAGAAACTTCAGGAATTGGGGATTCAATACTGAATGTGAAATGTGCAGCACAGCCCTTGGAAAAAAGGGGTAAAGGTGAGTGTTTTAGATAGTATATCCTGAAGAATGGGAATCTTTATACAGTGAATCACTGACTCACTTGAACTTGGTGGAAAGAAGGAAAAATGTTTTGAACATTCAAGAAAAAAGTGGAAAAAAAATTTTTTCCCCAGAATTACAACATGGTGTCCCTAGACCCTTCATTAGTCTGTGCTTTCAGGGTAAGCTACAAATCCATTGGACACCATTAACCTATAGAGATCTTAGGATTTAAAGGGGAAAAGCACCTTAGAAAACATATAATAAAGACTCCTCATTTTATAGATGAGGAAAACAGAGGGAAAGAAATTTCACCCAGGTAATACAAATAGTTCATAGCAGAGTGGGACACCCAGATCCTCTGAAGCCAAGTTCAGGATTATTTCTACTACACCAAGTCTTTGTGATACCTCCTTGCACTAAAATCTCAAATTCATAGGATCATAGACTTACAATTGGAAGGTACCTTAGAGGCCATATGGTCCAATTTCCTCTTAAACAAATGAGAAGACAGACCCAGGGAAGATATGTGACTTATCCAAAGTCACCCAAAAAAATAAGTATCAGAGCAGAGATTTAAAGCCAGGGCCTCTAGTCCACCTCCAGGACTAGTGCTGTTTTCTACTTATGATTCAAACTGAGGCCAGGAGTATTGTTCTCTCCCCACTTAGTGTCACCTCTACTGTTGTTCTTTCTTTGTTGTGATAGTTTTCATGAGGTTTGGATTCCAGAGTTTAGGTGTTTTTCTCCATCCCTCTTCATTTTCAGTTTAGACTTCTTGAACAAATCTTTAAACCCTCCAAGTCATTAATGCTTAGGTGAAAGTGATCTTCCAAGTCCTAATGTGATACATTTCATTCCTAGCCAATAATCAATCATTTCAATATCCTCAGCCAAAGACTAAAATGTAGTCTTTTACATCTGTCCAGGTGGCCATTCCCTTCTAATATCCTTTTTCAATCTTCAAAAGTCCTAACCTTTATAAGAAAAAAAAAATCCCTTCTTTGCCATCAGATTTTTTAGTGTTCTACACAGGACTTCAATATAATAACAGTTAGGATTTATATACTGTTTTAAGGTTTGTAAATATACATACACATATACACAATTATTTTAAAATTGAGGACACTGATCCTTTCTTGAGGACAGTCACTGATTAAGTGACTTCTCTAGGATCACCCAGCTAATAAGTGTCTGAGGCAGGACTCAAACCCAGGTCTTCCTAATTTGAAGTCCAGCACTCTATCCACTAGGCCACCTTACTGCCTTTCTAGACTTCTAGCATCCATCCCCACTTGTTGAGTATTTGTAGTTTATGTTTATGTAGTACTTTATAAAGCACTGTATGTACAGAATTACTCTTGATCTTCACAACCCATGCAGGTAAGTAGTTTAAATTGGTGGTTATCCCCTTTTTATAGTCCAGGAAACTGAGATTCATACAAATTGAATAACTTGCCCAAAGCCCCATAGGGATAGAGTTGATCCTCGAAACCTGGTTTTCCGACTCCAGTGTTCTTTCCACTAAGCCATTCTTTTTCCCTTGAATCGTTAGAAGTGAGAAGTGATCAACAAGCTTAGTAATGGAAATGCCGGGAGTTAGAGTAGCAGGTGGTAGTTGTCTATGAAGTTAAGTGATTGTTATCTATGGAGTTTGTGGCAATTTGTTTATCAGAACTCTATGCCAAAACAATAACGATAAAAACAACTTTATGCCAAACACATCATTTAAGGGGGCAAGTAAGTATACATACATTATGTCAGTTGTGTGATTAGACATGGTTTATATCTCCATTTTTCAATACCATTACCCCTAGTGTCTTCTACCAAATTCCTGTCTGTAAGTCTAAATACTGACCAACTATCATCTTCACCTTGTAGCCAAGCCCAAGGTTAATGTCAAGCCATCTGTGGTTAAAGTCATTTCAGCCCCTAAATTGGCCACCAAACGCAAGGCGGCTGAAGTCCACCCTGCTGTCATTGCAGCTGTAAAGCCACTCAGTTCGAGCTGTATTCTTCAGGAAAACCCAAGCAAAAAAGCAGCTGTGGTAAGAAAATTATTTTGATCCATGGTGGGAGTTTTTTGTCTGTCAGAAAAGATGAAAGTCTACTTCCATTGTCTCTGTAATTTTCATAGTATGTCCTACTATTTCTTAATACTTTGGGTGTTTACATTATAAATTCTTTGTCTTCATAAAAAAAAACATTTGAAACAAACAGTTGTTCCATGGCAGGAATAAGTTTGTGTTAGCAAATAGTAGTTATCTTCCTGGAATTGGAAGGTTTTATCCCCTATCCTCAAGACCCATGCATTGCATAGGGGCTGGGCCTCAGAGGGCTGCTTATCTTCCTGGAAAAGGCAAGTAGACATTGACATGCAATGTACTTTTACAGGCTGCTGTTCCAGTTCTCTCTGAAGACAAACCAGTCACTGTGTCTGAGACAGAAAAAACCCCAAACAGGTAAAATCTCTATCCCTTTCTGTCAAACTTTGTCATGTAAATACCTGTGCTCCCATTACTTCTTATCTCTAGAGAACCTTGCCACCAAATGATTCTTACAGACAATCCAAATTCAACCAAATAATTTATGAATTAGACAACTCAGTAAGCCCCAAAATATTGCAAGAAAATGGATTGATGTTCAGTGTCACAGCATGTATTCACATATTACTTCATGGTATTCAGAAGACAGTCAGCACTTGATTGACTGTCCTAAATAAGATGATGTTTGGCTCCATGTTAATGAACTATTGTCAGACTCAGAAATATTCCCACGTTAATATGGCATCCTAGGGACTGAGTGATTTTAGCCAACCAGTGGGAAAAGACAGCTTTGTAATAATGAATTCTCTTTCCTTCTCATAGTCTTGATCTGCCTCCAAGTCAAGCTTCTTCTGATCCCCTGCCACCAGAAGTATCTAGTCCTTCTTCATCTCAAGTGGTGACAAAAAGCCGCCGGCTCAGTTCTGCCTCTTCAGGGAAACCCCCCCTTTCTGTGGAGGATGATTTTGAGAAACTCATCTGGGAGATCTCAGGAGGCAAATTGGAAGCAGAAATTGACCTAGATCCTGGAAAGGATGAAGATGACCTTCTACTTGAGCTATCAGAAATGATTGATAGCTGAAAGTGGTGACAAAATCACTTTTTAAAAAACTCACAAAAAAACCCCCTGGATTTTGTTTCATCTATTATAACATTTGCCTGAGGTGACTATTTCTCTAGGCCAGGATTTGCCCCAATCAGAAGCATACCTCAGAAGTATCTACACTTGTTTGGGCCTCCTGTGGTTCAAATTAAAGAGAAGGCCTTTGGGCAGCCATCCTGTCTATTGTTGTTTAGATTTGAGATAAAGTTCCTTATCTCACCCACCCCCTGTTCCCTCCTTCTCCCACTTAAAAAAGAGAGAGAGAGAGAGAGAGAGAGAGTGAGAGAGAGAAAGTAGAGATGAGATTGGGTTTGGGGGGCATAAAGGAGCTTAAAGCTTTAAGGTCTATGTTTGTTAATTCTGGCTTTTTTCTTTGGGTCTTCTTTGTTGTGTGTATGAACGGAAACGTGAAAGGTTATTGGAGTTTGAAAAAGATGAAGACAGCTGCTACTACTCTTAAGGACCAAATTTCATGCTGCCACTGAGCAAAATACACTCAGCTTTTGTTACATTGTCTGTCCTTCTACAATGTATTTAAACTGTTAACATAGCTTTAGAGAGGGCTAAACAGCTACAGGGAGCAAACCAGAATAACATGGACAGTTCTTCTAGGTCTGAGTTTTGGTGCTTCTGCTACTCTGAAGGCTTCTAACTAGCAACAGCTTATTTATTACTACTGTAATTTTAAGAGATTTTTTTTTTGCTTGAAAGTGCCTCGGTGGTCCCAAGAACTACTGTGTTGCTGGGATCCCCTGGTTTCTTCACAAGAAGTGATATGATTAGAAGAACCCTCTTCTCAGCATGAAAGTTCCCTCCCCTAAGTATTCTTCCCTCTCCAATACTTTTCTACCACCACTGGCATTGAATCCCCAGGACTTGTGTGAAGGGTTATGTTTTTATGTTTTTTTAAATCTCTCCTGCTGCAGTTCCAGCAAATTCTCTTGCCCAGGATTTCTCTACCCTTAACCACCTAGAAAGGAAGCCAAATCAGCTGCTGATTTTCATATGTGAACTATAGCAATACACTGAACCCCACTGTAACAGGGATGTTGAGATGCTTTGGAGGTGTATTGTGTACCTTCCATTTTTGTAGATGATTTTTTCTTACTATTTCTCGATTTTTTTGTTGTTGTTCTTGACGTCCTCTCCACATCCCCTCAAGGGTTTTAGACTTATGCTAGAATAAGCCTATTCCAGGCTTGTGTTCTCAGAAGGAGATATATTGCATTGTAAATATTTGTGTTCATATGGTATTTTGAAGAAAGGAAAAAAATACTTGTCCATTTTTATAATTCATTGTAGGTGGTATCTTGGTTCCCACAGGGAAAATTGACCCACCTGTCATATTGGCTCCTAAGGAACTGCTGTTGTAGGCGGCTCATCAAAAGGAGAACTTCATGTAATCTCATGGGAAGGTGGAGAATGCCACAGGACTAACCATTTGGCCTTGTTACAAACAGAAATAACTTGAGAAATTTATATATTTAAAAAAGATAAATACAACCCCCACCCCTCCCTCTGCAATTGAAAGTATTTGTTGTATGAGGACCCTTCCCCAAGGCCAAGCATGGAATGTTCTGGTTCCATTACTGATTGCCTCCTCCCCCTTCCCTTTCCCCATTTCATTCTTGAGATCTGCACCAAGGTCTCTAATCCCTTTTGTAAATAACCATTTTATTCTTTTCATTTTTTATGATTTTGTTTGTATCCTATTTAAAGCACTTGTATTATTAATCTGTGTCTGAATCATTCATGTTCAGCATCATTTGAACCATTAGTCATTACAGAGAAAGACATATTTGTGTTTTAAATAAAACTGGTGTAGGAACTTCTTGGCAGTGTGACTTGTATATATAGCCTTTTAACATCACATCAGTGCATCTGATATGGCAGATGCCCCAGTCAAATTATTGTTCCTCTTCTATCACTATAAATGCCTTGGTTTTTCACTTCCTGATTTGTTCTCTAAAATCTTTAATGATTACATGTAAGGAAATAACTAAATATCCAAAGTATGGCTATAATTTATCTATTACTTAAAGGGACTTGAGAATTATAATATGCATATCGCCTGCTTTTCCATAATAATGTTAGAAATGGTCATTAGGACGAATGTAGATGTGCTGCACTTTTAGAAAGCATAACTTTAAAAGCAGCTAATCAGAAAGAGATTATTTGTTGTACAAAATAGTTAACTGTATAGTTCCTTAATAATTAGTACCTGACATTTATATAGTTCTTTAAGGTGTGCAAAACACTTTACAAATATCTCATTTTATTCTGCCAACAACCCTGGAAGATAGTGCTATTATCCCCATTTTACTGATGAGGAAACTAAGGCAGGTTGAATGACTTCCCCAACATCATATGTCTAGTAAGAATGATCATATTTTCAATGATTAGGCTGACACCTGTAACTTCTCAGGATATCTGCCCCATCTCCATATATCAAAATCCTAACCAATTTTAAAGGTATAGTTCAAATGTCACTTCAGGTCTTCCAAAATCTTTAGCCTAAAACAACCTTTCAACTGCTTCATGACTTTGTTTTCCCCTGAATTATAGCATTTCTTACATATTGCTTTATATTATAGTTATGTGTACGTGTCTTCTCTAATATAGAGAGATGTCAGACACCTTAGAGTTCATTTAGCTCAACTCCCTCATTTTAAAGTTGGCATAAGCCCCTTGAGAGCTTATATTAATCATCACTTTTTTTGTAATATACACTTTGTATCCACACCTAACACAGTGACTTTACAGGTGTTTTGTCACCTATGTCACGTACATAGGTGTTTTGTCAATATTTGTTGAATGAATGACTATAAGATCTTTAAGATCCAACCAAACTTGAAAATTCTGCAAGAGCACAAAACTAGTGAGGTAACATTTAAGTCCCTCCTGACGTACTGGTTATGTGATTCTGGCCAAGTCAACCTCTCAGTATACTCAGGCAGCTATGACTAAGTTGTCAGAACAATTGCTGATCGATTTTTAGTAGAGAGGGGGTTTCTTTATGGGCATTTCCCCTAAACCAATGAAATCACAGACCTGGACTCCTAAAAAGCACAAGCCATATATAGAACCATAACATAGGTCCGCATGTAGCAGGCAAGAGAAAAAGTAGCATGTGAAGCACTCTAACCTATACTTTATTTCTCAAAAGCTTGATTCTCAACTCCTTGTGCACAATTGGAGCTTATAATCACATCTGATTTTATTTAGCTATTTTACATATGTGTGTCTTCCCTTTATTGGAATGTAAGCTTTTGAAGGAGAGGTTCTGTGTTAAATACTAAAAAACCCTCCATAATACCCTAGTACTTGTGTTATGAATGTACTGTAGCAGATGCTTAATGAATTCAATAAAATTAAATTCAAAGCAAAGGAAAACTTATCCCCTGCAAGAGAACTTAGGCAGAACTTTTGATATAAATTTGTTGGTTTTTACTTCACTACTCTTAGCTTGATGATAGATAGATAGATAGATAGATAGATAGATAGATAGATAGATAGATAGATAGATAGATAGATAGATGGAGGATAGATAGCATAGGTATACTATGTATAAGATGTATGTAGACACATGCATATGTGTGTATATATACATACGTATATATGTATATTCACTTTAAAGACAGTGTAACAAAATCAGGATTTACGAAACATTAAATGGGGGGGGCAATTATTTGCTTTAAAGAAGTATACAACATAGGATTCTTTTAAATAACCAGTTCCCATTACGCATTAAAATTATTTAACAACGATGCATCTGCTCAAGATAGTTATTATAACAGTATGGCAGTGACCAGTGTGGGTGGAAGAGTGCTCAGATGGGGATACCTCAAACCCAAGGCCTCTGAGGTCCTTAGCACTCTATCCTGAGATGCTATAGAAGGCTCTGGTCCAGTGCTTTGAACCTACCAAAATCCAGCAATGCCTAAAACCTACTAGTACTCACACTCCAGGAGAGTGAAGGTCTGCACCAACACCCAGGTCAAAATCAATAGGGCTGACTAGCCCAACCAAAGCATAACCAAATCACAACGGTGGGCAGCCTGGCCTTGACCCAGTTCAAGAACTAAGGCTGGAGATTGAAAAAACAAAAGACATCAATCACCATAAAGAAATTTTGTAGATCCAGGGACACCCCAAAATTCTACATTAAAGAGTAACTCCATGACAACTATAAGAAGAGAAAAAATGGATTTTCCACATGGACTATATGAATACTTAGAAGAAATGAAGCAAGAGATTTTAAAAAATCAAAGTTTTGGAAAAAAGAATTTGAAGGAAAATAAATAGCTTTTAACAGATAATGTTAAACCTTAACCCTCTAAACAGTAGAATAGACTAAACAGAAACCAATGACTCCACAACACAGCAAGAAATAATAGAAGAAAATTAAAAGGCTGAAACAATAGAAGAAAATTTAAGGTATCTGCTTTCAAAAAAAAAAACTGACCTAGAAAATAGAGGAGAGATGATTTTAGAATCATCAGACTTTCTTAAAATAGTGTTAAGAAAAAAGCTGGACACTTTCTAAAATCATAAATGAAAACTTTCCAGACCTATTAGAACCAAAGGACAAAGTGAAAATAGAAAGAATCCACTTATCACTTCCTGAAACTCCAAAAGAAAAAGTCCCAGTAATGTTACAGCCAAAATTCAGTGCTTCCACATTACAGAAAAAAAAAATATTTCAAGCAGTCAGAAAGAAAGGAACCAGAGCAAGATCATAAAAGACATGGCAATTTCTACTTTAAATAAGAGATCTTGTAATGCAATAATCTAAATGGCAAAAGATACAGTCTTACAACCTAGAATAACTTATTCTATAAAAGTGAATATTATCCTAACGGGGGGGGGGGGGAGGGATGGATCTTTAATGGAATACAAGACTTTCAAACATTCCAAATGAAGATACCAAAGCTGAGTAGGAATTTCAAAATGCAAACCTGAGAGTCAAGAGAAAGCTAAAAGGATAAATTTGTTTGAGCAATTGGAAGGAATGATGATGAAGGGATGGATTGTGTTCTGAGAAAAATAGTAGTCATTGAAATAGTTTCAAAAATTAACAGAGGGAACTGAAGGCAGTTTGGAAGGAAGCACAAACAAGTTTTGAAAGTAACATGTTGGGGCAGCTAGGTGGTACAGCAGATAGAGCACCAGCGCTGGAATCAGGAGGACCTGAGTTCAAGTCTGGCCTCAGACACTTGCTAGCTGTGTGACCCTGGGCAAGTCACTTAACCCTGATTGCTGGAAAAAAAAGAAAGTAACAATTCACTAGCTATGTGACCTTGGGCAAGTCACTTAACCCCAACTGCCTCACAAAAAAAAAAAGTAACATGTTGGTTTTAGTATAGTTTTTTTTTCTTTTAGCAAGAGGTATGGAATAGATATTCAGTTTCATACATAGTCCTCTGCTATGTATATAGATGTGTTCATTTTGATTGGTGTTTATTAATTTCAGGACAAAATAATTAAATTTAAAACTAAACTAAAAATGCAGGTTACATAAGTTTTCTGGAATACTTTTATTAAGCAAAGCAAAATACAACCAAGGAAATGTGTTTATGTATGAACACCCTGATGGACAATACTGTAAGGCCACTTAAACTCTGTTACAATTAATTCCATAGTGTTTCGTGTGTGGTTTCTATGACCCTTCTGTATAAAAAATGTTTCCTTCTTTAAGAAGGCCACACATTATCTGGGTAATACAAATGAATTTATATTGCGTGCTGTGTGTATATGTATATGTGTATATATATATATATGTATACAATATACTTACATATGCACATATATGTGTGTATATACAAATATATATATATAGAGATAGATATGAATATACACAGGTATAATAATAATTGAGCTATAGCCATAATTCAAAATTTCCCTCATGTTAGGCTCATTGTGTATTGGAAGTTTATTCCCACATCACTGATAGACTCTTATAGGTTGATATCAGAAGACTGATTCTTACCTGAGAGACCAATCCAAGGTCATGCTGGCAATGCTTAATCAATTTAGTCATGAACTCCCTTAGACTGCCCATTAAACTCCCTTAACTGCCCATATTAATCAGCTATTACCCTGTATACCTATGTAGTTTTAAATTTTTTATTATTTTTAACATTCTCTTTTTTAAATTCCAAATTCTCTCCTCTTCAGCCCCTCCTCCATGCATTGAGAAGGCAAGTAATATATCAATTATGCATTTGAAATCATGCAAGAGATATTTCCATATTAACCATATTGCCAAAAAAAAAAGCAAGAAAAATAAAGGGAGGAAATGCTTCAACTGTATTCAGGGTTCACCAGTTCTCGATTTCTGGAGATGCATAGCATTTTTCATCATGAGTCCTTTGGAATTGTCTTGGATCCTTACAGAACAGAGTTGTCAAGTCTTTCCCAGCTGATCATCATTAAATATTGCTGTTACTGTGTTCTGCTCCTGGTTCTTATTCACTTCACTTTGCATTAATTCACATAGGTCTTCCTGGGTTTTTCTGCCCCTTGTAATTTCTTATATAACAATAGTATTCCATCTCAATCATAGACCACAACTTGTTTTGCCATTCCCCAGCTGATAGGCATCCCTTCAATTTCCAATTCTTTGCCATCACAAGAAGAGCTGCTATAAATATTTTTGCACATATACATCCTTTTCCTTTTTCTTGGATCTCTTGAGGATACAGACCTAGTAGTGGTACTGCTGGATCCAAAGGTATGCATAGTTTTACATCCCTTTAGGCATAGTTCCAAAGCATTCTCCACAATGGTTGGACCAGTTCACAAGTCCACCAACAATGCATTAGTGTCCCTACTTTTCCACATCCCCTCCAGCATCTGCCTTTTTCCTTTTCTGTCGTTAGCCAATCTAATAGGTGTAAGGTAGTACCTCAGTGTAGTTTTAATGTGCATTTTTCTAATCAATAGTGATGCATTTGGGTAACCCACAGGCAACTCACCCAATTTTTAAAACGAGGCATGAGAAGGGTCGAGTCATTACTCTCCTTCTCGCCGCATCACAAGCCTGGCTGCCAGGCTAGGGCTCTGATAGGTTAGGCTAGCGAAGGGGGCAGGGCGAGGCCGGAGGAGGGACCTTCCAGGACCGTTTCCGGCGGGGGCGCGGCGGGTGTGGGAGGAACGGGACCCTGCCTCTATTTCTCCTCCTTACCCGTAGGGAGCGCTGTTGGAACAGTGAGGCCGCTTAGGCCCTTTGGCCCCCCCCCCTGCCCAACCCAACCCTCTCCTTTCCGCTTCCTGAAATGTCGACGGGAAGCGGAGCGAGAGCCTAGAGTAGCCGGTCCGCCAGGAAGAGGCGGAGGCGGAGGCGGAAGTCGTGGGTGCCTAGAGGGGCCTCCCGGCGTGCAGCGCGGCAGCATTTCCGGTTTCGCTGAGGCGCTTCGTGCCCCGCGCTCTCATTGTGCGCTCCCGCCATGGCGTACCGCGGCCAGGGCCAGAAGGTGCAGAAGGTGATGGTGCAGCCCATCGTATCCTGTAGTGGAGCTGGGGTCGGGGCAGCCGGAGGGTTGTGGCTGGAGAGCCAGGCGCGGGGGCGGGGAGCGCGAGGAGCCGGCCCCCCGGCCCGGGCTCGTCCAATGGGGCCAGGTGCCTGGGCTGGGAGCCGGGGGGCGGGCGGGAGGCAGGCCCGGGCGCGGGAAGGCGGGAGTGCTGGGGAAGCCTCGGGTGGGCATTCGTCCTCCTCCTCTGCTCGCGCCCACCCAGGCTGTCTGGTGCAGACTGGGGCTCTGCGTTTAGCACACCTGCGGCAGATGCCGGGCAAAGCCTTGGGAGAGCACAGGGGGCGGTGCGGGCGCTGGCCGGCTCCTCCTAAAGCCCAACTCGGGGACCTGACCCACCAGGGGTTTGCTGAAGCGTTGCTGGTTCAGTAGGTTTTCCCTTAACGACTTCTGGACAGAACCTCATCTTCAGGTATCTCCAAAATGTAAGTGAAACACTTGGTCTCTTTCTTTCGTTTGATATTTGGCTCCTTGTTGCTTTTCCTAATGGGAAGGAGCAATAAGAGTCTGGGTTGAGTGTGCTTAGCTGTTGGTCAGCTCTTCAGAATTTTGTGATATCGCAAAAGTCACAAACATAAAGCTAAGTGGGAGGAAAGCAAGGGCTGATACAAGAGTCTAATGCATCGTTGTAGCAAACATAAGCTGCACTGCCCGCGCTAGAAGAATGAATGAGCCTCGTTGCTCCAGTGTAAGCACAGTGGGTCATGATAGCAGACGGAGATGCGAGGGGAGGGATGGTGTTAACTTGGACAGTGAACCGGTACTGTGGTCATTGTGCCAATAGGGTGAGGATTCTACCCTCAGGTCAGTCTTCAACTGCCCGGTGGAAAAGGTAAACATTTTTAAATAGAAGACTCACTCTTCTATTCAAATCATACTACAAATGTATTCCATCAAATGACATTGTTATTATGAACTTAACCTTTCAAGCATTAGCAAAACGAGTTTAGTTTATATGTAGAACAAAACTTTTTCCATTAATAAGCAGGACACACATTTATAATAACCTCGTGTACTCTTTCACTCTTGTGTCCCTTCCCATGGTCTTTGTATTTAATGCACAGGTTTTAACACTAAAAGGAGAGGAACTTAAGAAAGCCTTGAAGGAACAAGCTGTGTCAGTTGACAAAATGGTATTTAAATCACTGAGCAAAGAAAAAAATAGTAGAATGATGCATTGAATAGAGCACTGGGCTTGGAATCGGGAAGACTCATCTTCATGGGTTTGTGACTTCATGCTCCTGGGCAAGTCACTTTTTTGCCTCAGTTTCCCCATCCTTAAAACGAGCTGGAGAAGGAAATGGCAAACCACGCCAATATCTTTGCCAAGAAAACCCTAAAATGGGGTCACAAATATCAGACACAATTAGAATAACTGAACAATAAATAAGAATCATAATACTTTTGTGTCAGGTGACATATCTGGTCCTTCTAATGTTGAATGTGTAAAATAGGATTTCAGAAGAAACCAAGCATATTGAAATATATTTACCAAAATATTCAAACAGACCCCAGATTAAGAACCCCTGATTTAATGACTTCATTAGATTTAAGTTTCCTTATTTGGCATGCAATAAACAGCAAAGCTTTGTATCCATTCAGACAGTTTTGATAGCCCTTTGAACTTACTGAACTAAGATAGTCAGTCTGGGGTTGAGAGTCCTTTATTGCCTTTTTTAAAAAGAATAATCGAAATCACTTCATTTCCAGTTGCTTCAGAAAACTAGTATAATATGAAAAGTGTTGGGGAAAACTTGTTTGTTTCAAACTGTTGGTCTCTTTGCTTAGTAGGCCTGATGACGTCTTGTGGTGCCTGAGTTCTGCAGGATACCAGAGAACTCAGAGAAATGTTTATGTTACAAGGCAAAACAGTGATAGATTCTTCCATACCTAAAACATAAACATTAGGAAAAATGCTGTGACTCAAAGACCCAAGATCATAGGAAATCATCAGTGTGTATAATCCCAATACTGTATTTGTCAAATGGAAACTTTCTTTGGAAATAAATTTAACCTCACATCTTTGTGACAACTAGATTTTAAAAATATTTTCTGATACTTTACAAAATCACTTTTGGGAAGTTGCATTTCACTGAAGCTGATTTGCGTGTGTGTGTGTGTGTGTGTGTGTGTGTGTATACATACACACACATATGTATATACATACACATGTACATATCACAAGTCTAGACGTGTAGGTGGTGGTGGGTGGTGGGTTTTGGTGTCTTTTTTTCTTTGTTTTTAAAAAATTTGCCTCTTTTATTTCAGCGGTCCCGAATTCAGGTGTGGCTATATGAGCAAGTAAATATGCGAATAGAGGGCTGCATAATTGTAAGTATCTGAGATTTATGCTCTTTTTCAGCGGTATATAATGAGAAAAGACTTGAAAAGAATCAGAAGTCAAACTATAGGAAAGCGTCTGAGACAGGCGTGTTAAGTTCATGAGCTAAGAAAAGAGCTAGGGATTGAGAGTTGACTGTCTATATAACACTATATTAGCTTTTTTTTGGTGGGGAATGGGGAGTAGAGAGACAAGAAAATATCATTATCCTTGATATCCTTGAGCAGATAAATGTGGTGTTAGTAGGGAGGAATAAGAGTACAGAAGAGATACAGGGAGGATACAAATATTTAAGTGCAGAATATGGAATTGATAATAAGTGATGAGAATAGGATAAAGTTAATTAAGGAAAGCTTTCTGGGGAATGTGGGCCATGAATCACACTTAAAGAAGTGATAATAGTTTTGAATAGTGTTTTTCTACTACTATACAGTCACTCTTTAGTGTGCCGCAGATGTATCCCTGGGGTTTTCTGATGTCCTGAATAACCTCACTCCACTTTGCCAATCTTTGGTGAGGGTAGAGAAAGGCCATAGGGTAACTGGTATATGCATACACAATAGATTCCTTTAGAAGTGGGAGGATTGTGCATAAGTTAGGTGATAGGATGTGTTCCTGGTAGATCCTGAAGCCTGGGAAACACTAATTAGTGTTCTTAACCTGGGATTCATGAGCTTTAAAAAAAATTAATAACTATTCTAGCATAATTGGTTTTCCTTTGCAAGCCTATATATTTTAAATGTTTAAATATATTTAAATTAATTCTGAGAAGCATTCTATAGACTACCAGACTGCCTAAAGGGTGTGTTACACAAAAAAAGGTTACGAATCCTTGAGTTAAAGAAAAGAAGGTAAGTTAATTTGTACGGAAGAATAGTGGTTAGAATAGATTTCTTCTGAAGAGCAGTCGTGGAAGTTTCTGGGTCTTCACTATTTCATATTAAAAATCAGTGGTGGTATGGGTTACTCTATTAAGTCGTAGAAATATATTAATCTTCAGTTGTATATGCCTGGGATGATTTGAGTATAATTCTGCCTAAAGAAGATCATTTAAAAAGTTTTATTTGAATAAAACTATTAAAATTTTAAAATGACAATTTATTGTCTAGGGTTTCGATGAGTATATGAATCTTGTATTGGATGATGCAGAAGAGATTCACTCTAAAACAAAGTCAAGAAAACAGCTTGGTAAGATGGTACACAGCCTTATTGAATTTCGGTTAATTTGTCCAATCTACAGAATTTACCATTTTTTTTAAAGCCATTCCTAGCCCATCTAATAATAATGACTGTAAGCATTCTAATCTTATTTCAGCCAATGAGAAAGTGTAGTTAAATCAGGGACTTATTATCCCCTTTTAATATTATCCTGAGAAGCTTCATGTCTATTTCATCTCTTATTAAACGGTCCTTTGCTAAAAATGAGTCTTTGAATTTCATGTTTTAAGTTTTTCTCTCCTTAAAGTTTCTCTCAACACACATCAATTGTGTAAGACTTGTTTTTGAGAAGCAGTAGGATGATTTAACTATGCTTTTGACTGCTTAGATTGTTTTCCTTGAAGCGTTGATTTTATTTAAGTTAAAACTAAATTTTGTATATTATAAATGTAAAATTTGCAAGCAGTTAGGGGTGGACCATCCAATTCAGTTAGCATCTGGTGCATTTGTTCTTGTAAAGGAGTATCTACTCGAATATTTGAAATTACCTCTTAAAAATGCATTAGTTCACGTGAATGCTGTCATGTTTCTAAATATTTGTGTACTATGAGAAAGAAATAAGAAACTAGTAAGAGAGGTGATGGTCTTAGACCCCAAAATGAAGCAGTTTTTGCACATTACCATTGTGGGAATTTGTTTTACTTGATTATGCATGTTTGTTACAAGGGTTTTTTCTTGTGAGAGGAAGAGAAAACAGATTTTTATTTAAAAATTTTTTTCAAGCCCTCTTATGCTAAGATTTTAAATTCTGATTAAGTATTAAGAAGTTTTGTGGTAGACTTTCATGACTTCTGATGGTTTTTTATCTGTGTTGCAGGTCGGATCATGCTAAAAGGAGACAACATTACTCTACTACAAAGTGTCTCTAACTAGAAGTATATGGTCAGTGAAGTTAGAAGAAACTCAGAAGGCAGTACTTTTTTTTCTTAGTTACATTCTCTGGGCTTCAAAAGCCACCTACACATTTTTGCCATGTTATTTTGATCTTTCTTTTATGATATTATAACAATAAATGGGTTGCTCTGGGGTTTGTTTCTGTTAAAAAATTCTGCATTGAATTTCTTTCTGTCTATGAAAGAACTTTTCACACAGTGGTGCCTTGTAAGAGCCTGGAGGCTACAGCTGTTGGTGCTGGCCTTAGAGCTTTCTGAAAAGAGGCAGATGCCCCAGGTATTACTTTTTGAGGGGTGCAAAAAAGGATACAAATTTTGTGAGAGTGGTGAGATTCGTATATGTTGTGAAGGTAGTGTCCTTAATTAACATAAGACTATTGCAAACATACAATGGGGGCATTGAAGCCAATACAGTGAAACTAGACTCTTGACAATCAAGTACTCCCATGGCATTGTTACTAACTTGGAAATTACTTCCTAAATCTAAAAACTTTGTGAAGAAGAGATGGAGGCTGCATTAGGCTTGGTCCATAGATGTTCTGTGTAAGGTGTTCAGAGATAATTTCATTTTCTGGTCATTAATATTAATGCAATTTTATCACCAGGTTTGTTATCCATTGGGGTGATTGAGGGAAAGAAAAGGAAACCCAAAGCTTGCGGGGGGGGGTTATGTTGGAGGCAAGAGTTGGGAATTTTTCCAGCACGCTACATATAGATGGGTAGACGTGAGACAGAAATCCAGTGTCTGAGCAAGACTTCTTAACTCTTAGGGACTTTTGTTTCCATCCTGAACTGCCGTTCGTGTCCTAATTCAAACCGAAACCTGGACACTCTTACTTTTCTGTACTCCAGTATAACCCTGGTCTGTAGCAGGATGGAGGAAGAACAAGTCTAGCCTTACTTCTCTGCCTGCCTGGAGGGTAAAAACAGAACCTTGTAGACACATGAAATGTAGCCTGTGAAGTCACCCTGCAGCTCCAACAGGTGTTTTCATGGAGGCAGACGATGAGTCTAGCCCTCAACTTACTGTGTTGTTCTGTGTCTCCTCTTAGCTCCTGCACACCTGTCCTGATCTAGTCAGAAGTAAAGGTTTTCTTTATTCCCATAGCTTCTATATTGAAGTTTGAGATTCACTGAACCAGTTGGTGTGCAGAGGAGACATTGTCCAGCAGAGGGCACTGCTGCCCTAGACTGAGCTCCAGTTCCTAGTTGGGAAATGAACTGAATGAACTTCTTTCTGATGAGAGCACAGACCTCCCTGCTGCTTTTTTGGCACCAAAAATAGCTGGGAAGAATGATAACAAGCAAAAGCAATATAATCCCTAAGAAAACCTGCTGGCTGCACTCTCTACTTCCCCCTACGTCCTCACTGACCCAGCTGCCTCTGTAAGCAGAGCTGTGCCTGCCGTGGCCTATTCTGAATAGATCAAGGAACAGAAGGTTCTATTTTTGACAGCGTAAATGACGATGGTGAGGAATAAGGTACAGTGAACGCTTACAGTTGGGCTCTGTATTTACAAAGCTCCTTGCTTGCTTTTCTGCTCCACTGGAGCTGGTTGTGTTTGCTTTCTAAGTTGTACTTTTCCACAAACGTGTAGATTTTCTTTTCTCTCAAGCAGAAGATGCAGTAGGAGGGGGTGTTACCTTTGGCTGTGTTAAAGTTACTAAAACTTGCTGCTGGGAAAGCAGGTTTCAACCAGGAACCTCTAGTACAAGGACAGTTATTTTACACTTGCTTTCTAAATGCTTTCTCTTAATCATACTCCTCTTGTGCTTGTGGTGCTCCCAGAGAAAAAGGCCCCAAAGGAAAAGTGAGCATAACTGTAGTCTGTTTTTTGATAGTGGTTGAGCAGAAGGAAGAAGGTGGATTTTGAATGCTTTGGAGATTTTTGCATTGGTAGGGGCACCAGTTCTTGGCTTTATATTGTTAGTGTGGATGTTTTAGTATTAGGGGAAGAGGAGCCTGTACCACTTAGATTCAGGCATTGTGAGGCAAAGGGGGCCTTGGGCAGTCTCAAATAGGCAGCTTTGTGGCTGACAGGGATAATGAATGGCACAGAAACAGAACAGCAGCTTTTCCATGAATCCTTCCTAATGGAATTATAATTAGCTTCGTCTTACTATTAACCCCAGCACAACTCACTTGTGTTCCTTCTTCAGTGAATTTTCGAGTCCTACAAATTGAGCCTCACAAGAGGCCTGAACTGTGATTTGGTGTTCTCAGAGTCTAGCCATAGCTCTGTCACCAGTTTTCCAGCTTTGGGCAAGCTAACTCATCTCTTTGTGCCTCAGTTTTCTCACTTATATGAAGGTAATAACTGTTCTACCTACCTCATAGGATTGTTGTTGAGATGCTTTTAACTTTTGGAAAAAAATTAAAGTTCTTTGTAATGTGGTATGATAATATAATTTGGGGCTGAGATTTTTCTTTTTACTGTGTGAAAGATGTTTGCTAGGCATATAATTAAATGGAACTGTTTCAAAGTGAATATTTGGCTTACTCTGGAAGACAAATGGCTTTCAGACGCTTAGAAAGCTACTTTATTTAGCAGCATCTTTTTAATATGTGTCACAAATTCTTGACAATTAAAGACTGTCCTAGCAAATCCTCTGTATGACAGCATGCCTGTGTCCTCATGCATTTGCAAAATGCCCCTTTCAGGTAGGGTAGAGAAACAGAAACCTAAAAAGATCCCACAGAACATCAAAGTGAGAACTGGGACCAAGACACCAAATGCCTGACTTTCTACTGCGTGGAACTGGCTTCTTTGGACATGGGCGCTTATATGAAAGTTTATTTTTGTTGTCACTATTTGCTCAATGTTCATTCATTGACTGAGCATTTATTGAATGATTGCTAGGTACAGCCTTCACAAAGTCCTACTCTGGTGCCTCATGACAGAGGTTGTCCTGGGTTTAAAAAACTATGTCAATAAAGCACAAGCTTTGGCAGGTCCTGCCATCTTGGAAAGGCTTTAGATACTATTTAGGAAAAAACTGTCTGCTTTTCTAAGACAAGCTTAGCTCAATAAAGAAAAATTTGTCATTAAGAGACTGGCCACTCACTGAATTGTTTTGGACAAAGAAAAATACAAAATGTCTCTTGGTCTTGTGCAGTCCTTCTCATCTGCAGTGATGATAATGGTGGAAAAGAGGGCTGAGGATGCTTAGGATCACGCAATATTTAGACCATCTGTAAACCTTAATTTGCTTTTGGTTCTTTAAATGCAAGATCCTTGTTCAGTGACCCATGAAAGTGTGTGTATGCTACTGGAAACTGAATTATGTTCATCTTAACAATTCTCAACACAAATGAAACAAGACAAAAGGACATTGTAGCTGAAGGAAAGAATGGCTCACAGGATGTCTTTGGAGAAGCAAATAAAGACCCTGGCAGAGCTGGTGTTATTTTGTGCCCAAGGATAACAAAAAACACTTTCATGGAACATTTAGTCAGGTAAGAAGTTGGGAATAGGAAGGATGGCAAAGATATTAGGAGTGAGAAATGAGAGTTCAGATGCTTGTAGGCCACCCAGAAGCCTCATACCTATATAACCTAAATCCTTTCCTTGGATGTGTCAGCTTACAGTCTGATTGTTAAATTTTCAGTGTGACCATTTACACTTTGGAAATTGGCAAACACCACAAATCAGGGCATGGTTTACTGTTCTGATGATGATCTAGACTTAAGAAAATGATGGAGAAGATGTTAATACAGATTAAACTTAAAATGGTGGTGTGTATACATTCAACTATTTACCAGCACCGGCTACTGAGCATTTCATTAAGGAGAGAGTAGGGAAACTTTGGACACAGTGAGCAATGTAACATCACAAAAACTGAAAGTAATTAATAGAAGATGACTTGTTACCCGTGTGGGAATCATTTGAGTCTGCTGTCTGTAGAACATGACCACTAACTTGTTAGAGGCAAAACTGGGCTAAAGAGCAAAACTGAAAAGATGTAATATGCAATTTAGATAAACTCCAGCCTGATCAATTTAAACAATCTGTTGGGAAATGAATAAAAGAACAGATACTGTCATAGACTACCACCACTTCCTAAGGAAGTTTAACTGATATAAATCACTTGCCACAGTGAGACCAAAACAGCATAGAAACTGCTCAGCCAATGTACACTTTGTCTCTTTGCCAAGAGGGAAAAATGTAGCCAAGGTCAACATTGGCTTATATAAAGTCATTTTAGAGATCTCAGGGGAGGATTAGAAAATGGAGTAGTAGCACCTTATAAAACAACAAAAAAGCAGAGGGGGAAAAATAAGTTTATAGAAAGCTTGGCAAGACACTCGGCTAAATTTAATCATCTCGAGAGCATTTAAAGATGAAGCTAGAAGAACAACAAATGTAAAAGACCTATAGGTTTTTATAATAAGTCCTTTGTCCTATAATGACAGTAGGGTCACTTCAAGTAGTCAGTCTCACAGGCACGATGATGTGCAGTGCGGGGAAGTAGACATAGTACTGAATGAAGCAAAAACATTGGGGCAGCTGAACTAGACCAAGTACATATAAGAGGACTATGGGAAGTGACACAATTATTAAAGGCATTAAAGAATCAATTCTCAAGGCATGTGAAAAGGGGAGATAATACCAAGGTCTTGGAAGAAATTCCAAACGTTATTGTTGCACACACATCGCCCACCCAAGAGAAAAAATAGTAATGTCTGCGATATTTTTTGAGCATGTACGTGCATTGAAGAAATCCTAAATAAAGGCATGAGAAGGGACCAGACATTCACAAACTTAAATTCAACGGTGGACATCTTCATAGCCATTTAACTGACTAAACGATCCTACTGTACTTGTTTTGTTGACTCTCTTTAAAAAGCAATCTTTAAGTAGGGAAAAGTCACCATAAAGACCCTTCTCCAACAAGACGTCTTCCATATATATATGTGAGAATAAAGATTCCCAAAAGCGGGGGATAAAGAATTTTTAAGTTGATTATCTGTAATATATTTATCTGTCATGTCAAGTGAGGCATAAAATGGACATACTTGCCACAGGTTTTTGCCATTTCTATAGAGGATATCTACTGCAGAGTCAAAACAGAGGAATTAGATAGTGAGGTCTTCCCTTTGCTCCATGCACTTAATATAAATACTAGAACATTGCTGAACCTCTTGAATGAGATCCGTGAGTCAGTGAAGCATTTGCCCTAATAATCCAAACTGAAAAAGCCAAATGAATGAAAAATGCTTATTTTCTAGACTGGGCTATTCTTCCAACTGCATACTATAGAGTTGGTCCATTAATATGTTTATCTTAAATGGACATGGAGAGTAAGCTGGACTGCTTTGGAGAAATTGTGACATGCCTTTAGTGACTGCAAGTGCTCAGCGAGCATTTATTAAGCACTTAAAAAAAAAATTGCCAGGCACTGTGATAAGCCCTAGGGATACAAAAAAAAAAAGCAAAAAATGACCCGTCTTCCAGAAGCCTACATTCTAATGGAGGAGACAACATTAAAGTCATAGCACATAAGAGAAATTAGCAGAGGATTGGCAGCGGGGGGACCAGTAAAGGCCTTTTGGAGGAAGTGGCGCTTGAGCTGATGCTAAAGGAAGCCAAGGGTTATAAGAATTGGAAATTGGATGGGAGAAGGTGTGGGAAGCCAAGAGTTTTATGTGCAAGGAATAGCAGTTGGCTTGTAGGGTGTGTGAAGAGGAAGGAAATGTAGAAAGACTGAAAAGGTAGAAGGGGGTCAGGTTGTGAAGAGCTTTAAAAGCCAAGCATGTCAATATTTAGTCTTGGACACATGTTTAATGAGTGGGGAAGCAGGGATACCATTGAAATTGGTGTGCTTATGCTCCAGAAACTAGATAGAAGATGGATTAGAGTTGGGAAAGACTAAAAGTAGGGAGACCAATTAGAAGGCAAGAGGTGAGGAAGGCTTCTACTAGGGTGGTGGCTGTGTGAGTGAAGAGAAGAGGATGTTAATGAAAGATGTTGTGGGAGAAGAAATTACAAGGTTTAACAACTAACTGGATATGATGAGAAAAGAGTCAAGGGTGACACTGAGATGATGAATTCTAGGTGACTGGCAGGGTGGTCAGTGACAGTATGGGAAAATTCAGAAGAGGTGGAAGACTTCGAGTTTTGTTTTGCTTTCTTTTTAAGTAAAAGGTGAAACATGTTATTGAAAATTAAGAGAAACCAGAGTATTTTTAGTTTGTTCTTGGAGCAGAGGCGCATCTTTTTAGCCACAGTATCTTCTGGTATTGCTGAATGTAGGTTATCAACCAAGAATTGAGAGAAGGAGCATCAAGGATGCCATCAGATGGATGATTAAGGTGGACCTGTCGTGTGGTGATGATTGATAATTCATGGACATCCCACGTTCTCTATTGGTACCCATTCGTTATCAAGAGATCTCAAGGTAGGTTCCTGAAACACTGAGCAGATCCTCTGTGGAGGATTTATAGGAGAATATGAACAAAGATAATAGGATGAGGAGGTAGATAGAGATGGGTTGTCTTTCTTGAAGAGTTTATTCCCATGAATGAGATCAGAGGTCCACTGAAGTATGTAGAAGTAAGTACTCTCCAAGGCACTAAAGTTTTCTGCTGCTTAAGAATATGAGCAGTATATAAACAGGAACTGTATCTTTTCTGAACAACTGTTATATCTGTGTTCAGAGATAGCCCTTTAGAGAGAAGGCGAATGCACGTGAACTAGTGATGGGGCTGACTTTTCATGCTCAATGAACCAGGATAGGAGGAACCCAGGATAGCCAGAGTCCCAGTCTGAGGTCATGCTTTTCTGATGATCTGGAGGTCTTTTATTGGAATCAACTCTTGCTTCATCTCTCCAGCCCTCAGATTTCCCATTTTTAAATAAAGAGGCTAAGCTAGGTGATCTCTGAGGTCCTCTGAAAAATACAAAGCACAAATACATACATTTAAATATGGCTTCAGATTTTGTGTCACATGATTTTCATGGAATTCATGATTTTGCTCTTTTAAAAAATGGTTTTTTAGTAAACAAAATCGCACTCATTTAAGTTGACTAAAATGTGTGTTCCTTCAAGTAGCCCCTGTGGTGAGTCTGTACTAACATTGAACTTGTGTAGTCCTAGAGCTGGGTCCCCAGGGCTTCCCCTTCACATTTATATTGCTTGATGGTCTTATAGGAGCCAGTTATGAGAGCAATGAAGGGGCTAATGAAGGCCAGACCATTGTGTGCCTGCAAGACTACAAAAGTCAGAAACACGTTAATGTTTTAAATGGGTTAAAAAACCCATTCATAAATACAGACATTCAAACACATAGAAGGGGTCTGGCTCTAACCTGACCCTATCTCAGAAACAGTAGCCTAAGTAGATAGTCGCCACAAAGGAATAGAAATGCTGGACACTGGTTGGGGAAAGCCCAGCACCACAAGGGGGATAATTGTATTTCTGGAAGAAGACAAGGTAGCAGATGACTGCAACCCAAATGTTTTCCCACAGCATTTTGCCCTATTCAGTATTTACCAGAAGTTAGCTGGCGTACTTGGACTTTACTTGTATAGCTTTTCCATTGAGGAGATTTATTGCCAAGGCTCTCAGTTTTACCTTTGTAACATCTCTCACCCCTTCTAACCTCCAATAACTCACTGCCCTGGTGCAGGCACTCATCTCCTCACTCCTGTGCTATTGGAATAGACTTCTGGTTGGTCTGCCTGCACTCTCCACTGCAGTCTAGCTTCCACTCAACTGCTGTTATTTTCCTAAAGCACAGGTCCAATTATGTCACCCCCCAGTAAACTCCACTGACTCCCTACTACCTCCAGGATCAAATATAAAGTCCTCTGTTTGATATTCAGAGCCCTTCATAACCTAGGTGTTTCTCTCTGTCTTCTGTCTGTCTGTCTCTCTCTCTCTCTTTCACACACACACACACACACACACACACACACACACACTCCCTTTCCCAGTCCTAGGTGTTTTACTCTTCTACATACTCTTCCATCTAATGACACTGACCTTCTTGCAGTTCTTCAGACAAGAGAGGCCACCTCCCAACTTGGCATTTTCACTGAATGTCCCT